CCGCTGGACTGCTTGGCAGTTTCTCAAAGAGGCTGCCATTGTCTTTGGCAGAAACAGCCTGGGCGGTGGCCCTTTGAGCGTGAGCTGCTGGGACTGCGGCTAGGTCTGGGACTCGATCAGGGGCCAGTGGAGGAGCACAGGGAGAGGAAAGTCCTCCATCTAGTCATTTTCATCTTGCAGAACCTGTGGTTTTCATTATTCCTCCCGGGGAGGGGTGGGGGCCGGTGGCTGGCCCAGTGGCATTTCTATTAAATAAGATCAGGTACTTGGAAACAGAATGGGAGACACCCGGAGGTGGCTTATCATTATGAGAGCATAGTCTGCAAAAGTTAAAAACACAACTTTATGTAAAAGGAGAAAAAAAAAAAAAAGCAAAAGAACACCCGTCAACACATTTCTTTTAACTCTTTAGTGAGGGGACCCGCAGGATGGCAAAGCCAAAGGGTTTGCTGTCACTGAATCAGGATTGCAAAGTTCGATACAGGGCTGTATAATGTCCTCTGGGGCCACAACACTGCCGTCTCTGGGAGGTTGTATCTTCTGGTGGATAAAAATCATTTACAGTGTGTCCATCTATGAGATGACATCGGACTCCCTGGGAATCTAGGCGCTGGCAGGAATAGTAACTCCATCCCAGGTATGTTTCCCTGAGCAGGGACTGGCCAGCCATCCAGCCCCTTGCCTGCTTCTGTTAAAGTTTTATCGGGCACAGCCGCGCCTATGTGTACGTGCATGTGCACGTGTACTGCACGTGCACATATCTTCTTTGGGGCTGCTTTGTGACCCTTCGCAGAAAAAGCTGGCCAGAGGCTCTGCTGGGGAATGAGATGACTCTCAGGTGGGCTCCAGCATAAAATTGGAAACTCCTGTTGTCAGCTTCCGGCCCTGTGTGCAAGTGTTGAGTATTTTTTCTTGGCATTGTCTAGGCCGGAAGGCTTATGTGTTTGGGAAGTTTTTGTTGGGTCTTTGCTATTGCTACTTTTGAACTCAAGGGCTGACCCTCGGACGGACACAGCTCCAGCCCAGGAAATAGAGCCCTTCCTGTTCTCACATGTGCCTTCCCAGAGGGTAGGGTCTTTGTGGGTCCTAGATAATTGTCTGCCTTAAATATTGCTTCCTGCCATTGAGCCTCCGCCCTTGGTCCCTGCAGACCGATCATTCATAACAATGACGATCATAATAATAGGACCCGTGGTAGCCAGCTTACAGCAAACCTACACGTAGATCAAAGAATCCTGCACTGGGGCACCTGCATGGCTTGGTGGTTGACCATCGGACTCTTGATCTTGGCTCAGGTCTTGATCTCAGGGTCACGAGTTCGAGCCCCACTTTGGGCTCTGTGCTAGGCATGAGTCTACTTAATAAAAAAAACAGAACAAACAACACCCCCCCCCCCCAAGAATCCAGTGCTTTATCCGCATCATCTTGTTGAGTTGTGAGACGTTAAGGGACCATTATCTCCATTTTACAAACCAGAAAACTGAGGCTGTTGCTTCTTTAAGGAAATCTTTATGGTGTGCCTGTCTGGTGGTGGGTGTTGTGTTGCCCAAGCTGAGGGCAGATTGCTTCTTCCTTGACGCGTGGACCCGGTGGATGGCCACGGTGATTCTTTATATCGGGAATAATCAGATTCAGAGCCCAGAGACCTAGGGTTTCACTTTGGCCCTGCTGCTTCTCAAAAGGCCTGTGGTCTTACTTCTGTGAAATGGAGACACGTCCTTGTTCCTCTGCTCCTCTACTGCTTACTCCTAACCCTGCTGGAGTCTTTGTTAGAATTAAGTGAGAATCTAATGGGTAATATGTAATCCCTAAAAAACCTACACAGACCTTCTCCCATTACCTGCCTTGCTCCTGTTACAGCTGGTTTGTTCTATCTGGGTCCATGGCGTAAAAAATCAGAATATGCACCATGCATAGATGCTCCAAGTTTTGCATTTGTGTGTAGATTTTCATGGTATTTGTGGTGCCCCTGTAACTGGGGGTTGGATCGTGGGTGCATCCTTGAGCCAGTGGCTAAAAATGGGGTACTTGGACGTACTCCAAAGTCATTCCTTTTCCTCCTCTCTAATCAGAGGTGTCCCTACGGAACTCCAGCTGGTGCACGCCCCATCTTAGGAGTGGTTGTTCTAGGAGCCGGTGCTGTGAATGGTGCAGACACAGCCTGTCCTCCAGCCTTTCCTTTAGACAGACGGTCAACAAACACCCAGAGTAATTTTTGAGAGTGATAAATACTATAGGATCAGATAATGTGTTAGAACATGGTTGAGCTGGGGGGAAGTAACTTCCAGTGGGGAGGTCAGGGAAGGTCTTTTCTAAGGTGCTGGGACCTGAAGGACAAGAAGGAGCCAGTCATGGGAGGACAGTGGGGAGGGCACTCCCGCCAGCTGGAACAGCAGATGTGAAGGTCCTGAGGTAGAAGTATGTGTATGTGTCATGTGAGCAGCAGTGCGGGTAGGATTGGGGAGCAGGAAGAACACCCAGATGGCTGCTGCCTGGGGCTGGGAGAAGGACTCCAAGAGGCCAGCAGGCTAGACCACAGGAGACCTCTGGGCCTTGGCAAGGAGTTTACTCTCATTCTCTAATCCTCTGGTGTCCAATGCAAGAGCCAGTAGCTACCAGTGGCTGGTGAAATTAAAACTGGTATACAAAGAAAGATTTAGTTCCTCAGGAGAAATTGGAACCGTTGTGTCCTCTTGGTGGGAAAGTAAAATGGCGAAGCTGCTGTGGAGAACAGTGTGGCAGCTCCTCAAAAAATTAAAAAGAGAATTACTCTCTGATTCAACAGTTCTGCTTGGGTGTACATGCAGAAGAATTGAAAGCTGGGTCTTGAAGGTCTTCGTGTATCCATGGTCTTAACAGCATTATTCTCCATGCCGCAGAGGTGAAAACAAGGCACGTGCCAGTTGATGGATAAATGAATAAATAAAATGTGGCATATACACACCGTCAAATGCTATTCAGCCTTAAAAAGGAAAGAAATTTAGACACCTGCTACAGCACGGATGGATCTTGAAGACCTTACACTCTGTGAAACAAACCAGTAACAAAAAGACCAATAGTACATCATTTCACTCCCAGGAGGTCCCCAGAATGGATGGTGGGAGCCAGACACTGGGTGGGTCTTGGGGAGTCAGTGTGTGTTTTTTTTTAAGATTTTATTTATTTATTTGACAGAGATCACAAGTAGGCAGAGAGGCAGGCAGAGAGAGGGGGGGAAGCAGGCTCCCTGCTGAGCAGAGAGCCCAATGCGGGACTCGATACCAGGATCCTGAGACCATGACCTGAGCTGAAGACAGAGCCTTAACCCACTGAGCCATCCAGGCGCCCGGGGAGCCAGTGTTTAAAGAGAGACAGAGTATTGGTCTGGGAAGATGTGAAAGTTCTGGAGATGGGTGGTGGGGATGGGTGTGGGACAGTATGAGTATACTTTGTACCACTGAGCTGTGCCCTTAAAAATGGCTAAGATGGTCAATTTTATGCTTCATGTATTTTGCCACGATTAAAAGAAATTAGTTCCTCATTGCATTAACCACACACAAGAGCCACAGGGGAGAAGTGGCTGCTGTGTTGGACAGCGCAGCTGGAGAACGGTCCTGTCCTCGTAGCAAGTTCCATCAGACAGCGCTGCTCCTGTGTGAATGCGGCTCCAGACGCCCCTTCTGTTTCCTGGAGCCTGTTTTGGGGGCCCAAAGTTGCTGCAGCAAAACGCCTGAGGGCTTGGGGTCAGTAACACCCCCAGCTTCCGGACTGTGTTTCAAGCCAAGCAGAGTACATGAGCGAAGAAAGCAACTCCTGGAATGGGGCAGTGCCACGGCTGATGTCTGTCCGGCCTCAGGGAAACCATTTGTCCATGGACAGATTTGCTGACAGCCTGGACAGGGAGGCCTGATGCTGAGGGACCGAAATCAAGGGGTGATCAGGAAGGGATGAGTAGTGAGACGTGGAGAAAAAGGGGATGGGTCACAAGCTGTTGCTGGAACTGGGGGCAGAGTCCAGCATTTGGTGGACAAGTTCATTGCGGGGGACCAGAAACTCCCCTGGCCACGAGATCAGAGGGAAGCCTCTGGTGTCCCCATCGGCGGGAACTTCTGTTTTCTTCCTGTTCATTAGCTCCTTCAGGTTGCAGCAGACACATCCCCTCCCCTTACTTCCAGCCCCATGCTGTGGCTTATATGATTGCGCCAGTTTAAGTAATGAACCTGCCTCCTCCATTGGACCCTGTGCTCCGGAAGGAGGGGCTGCGGCTACCTTGTTCCTTGTTCCTTGGCTGGAGCATCTAGATCAGGGCAATCAGGTGTCTACTGAAGTGACAAATGACCTTAGGGTGACTTGCTCCACCTTCTCGTACCGTGGTTTCCCCATCTGTTACACAGAGGCAGCGGCCCTAACACCGTGTCTGTGTACACGGATACCGCAGAAGCCCGCTAGAACAAGCTTGCGAGACCTGACTGTCGGGTTTTCAGGACATTTGTCAACCAGCTATTAAAGAAGCCGTTATGAAATGTACATGATACAGACTTACTGTGAACAAATCACCTTAAAAAAAAAAGCAATAAATACTCAGAACTCACTGCTTCTGATCGCCTCGCCACGTTTTTTGATTAGGTTCTTGGGTTATTTGCTACTGTTGTAGCCATTCGGTGGAGAGGCTGCTGAAGGCTGGGCTGCTCCGTGTCTCTCATCAGCTCCCCGTTGAGCAGCATTCTGTTGGTAGCTTTGGATGGCCCGAGGAGGGGGTGTTTACACCAGGGCGATGTGCAGGAGCTGTGAGTCCGAGCCTGTCTGCCTGCCTTCCCGGAGTGGTCTTACACACTTGCAAGCACACCGCTGGCCCGGGGTAGTGGGGCTGACTTGGGTTAACAGTCACGCCTGGCGTAGAGCAAGTACGGTAGAAGGGAGACCGTTGCTGGTTTTCTTTTGCTTGGCTTGCTGTCCCTCATCCAGACTTGCCGTCTCTGCGCACGGCCATTGCTGACCGGCTGTTTCCTCTCTCCCTCCAGTTTGTCCCACCATCTGCAAGTCGCACGGCTGCACCTCGGAGGGCCTCTGCTGCCACAGCGAGTGCTTAGGCAATTGCTCCGAGCCCGACGACCCCACCAAGTGCGTGGCCTGTCGCAACTTCTACCTGGACGGCAGGTGCGTGGAGACCTGCCCGCCCCCCTACTACCACTTCCAGGACTGGCGCTGCGTGAACTTCAGCTTTTGCCAGGACCTACACAACAAGTGCAAGAACTCCCGGAGGCAGGGCTGCCACCAGTACGTCATTCACAGCAACAAGTGCATCCCCGAGTGCCCCTCTGGTTACACGATGAATTCCAGCAAGTGAGTCCGGGGTGCAGCTTCTGGGAGGGTGGGGGGAGGCATGGAGGGGGCGGGCGGCATCTGCTAAAACTGTGTGAAAAACTAGAGTTAACTGGCATCGAGTGAGGAGGAGGCTACCGAGTAGTGATCTGCTTGGGTCTGTCGGAGGCCATCTCTGCCTCCTGGTTTGGTCCTGGCCTTTGGAGCAGGGAGTCGACGCGAGAGTGAGTTTTTTCCCATATTCTGCACCATTTTTTTTTTCCTGCACCATTTTTTAAAGTTTTTCTGTGCTTAGCTTGGGGGAACAGAAGACAGAAAGACAAGGAGTCCTTGGTTCCCCCCCTTTGCATGGACAGGACTATCCCCAGCGTTACAGCTGAGGGCAGAGCTGAGTTTTTCAGGTTTTCTGCCTGCTGGAGCCACTTAGTATGGGGAGATTAGCCTGGAGCTCAGGGAGGAAGAGACTCTGGAGTATTCGAGACTCTTCCCAGGACTTTGGTGCACCTTGAAGGACAGCACCGTCCAGCCGTTCCCTAGTGTTCGGGTGAGGGATACGGTGTGAGTCAGATTTCCTACATACATCACAGGCTTTTTGTTCATGTTGTTAAGCTTTTTAGATGAGCTATTTCAGTGTCTCAGGGCTGTAACCAAGTTTGAAAAATCTGTTTCCTGGTTTTTGTGTTGAGGGTTTGGGAAAAAAAAAACAACACAACCCACCCCACGAAACAACAAAAAAAACAAATCAGAAACAGACGCACGTCAAGGGGCCTTGAGCTGATCTGCTTACGTAAAAAAATCTTCCTCTGCGGACTTGAGAATTAGCCAAGCGAACGTGTTCTGGTGGGAAATTTTATTTCCCCGGGTGGAGTGGGTGGGAAGGAAAACAATCTTTATTTCGGTTCCTATGAGCCTCTCTCTGAGTGTTTGTGAAACCTGCAAGTACAACATGTTTTGTTTTACTTGTTTTTGATAAAACCTATCAAGTGGCTTTGTTGACCAAAAATAGGCTTCTATAAATCACCTTTGCATGCCAGACAGAGCCTTTTTTTTTTTTTTTTTTTCCTGGCTAGTTTATCCGTCAGGTTGGGAAAATGACCATATTCCTTTTGATTCATTTCTGTTTTTTGTTTTTTCTCCACATTTGAAATAAAACATGGATATTAACGTCTTCCGGCGAGATGTTTGTTTAAAAGACACTGGCTTTAAATAAAAGGTATTTTTTTTTCCCTTGACCGTAACTGAGACCTGAGATGGAGAGGAGATTTCTTTGATGTGCTTGCTGATGGGGTAGCAACCCCTCAAACCCAAACCCCGGGAAGCTGGCAGCCTGTCCTGTGATGTCTGGGACCTTTACTGAGGGAAGAAAGGCAAAGTGAGGAATGCCAGTTAGAACTAGCCATAGCAGGGGCGCCTGGGTGGCTCAGTTGGTTGGGCAACTGCCTTCGGCTCAGGTCATGATCCTGGGGTCTTGGGACTGAGTCCCACATCGGGCTCCCAGCTCCATGGGGAGTCTGCTTCTTCCTCTGACCTCCCCTCTCATGCTCTCTCTCTGTCTCTCGAATAAATAAATTAAAAAAAAAAAAAAAAAGAACTAGCCATAGCAATATTTTACTTTGTTGGTTAAAATAAAAACAAAAACAAAAACAAACACTAGTTTTTCTTCCAGAGCTTTTCTTCCAGAGCTTTTATTTGCTGAAAGACTTTAGTGTTCTCATTTTCTAATGTGGTTTGATAACAAATAGAACCAGATAGGTTTATCTGGGAAATGGTTTCTGATGGTTTTGGAACAGAGGTCTGGGAACCCATGTGATTCATTAGAAAGCCTCACAGAGGTGACTTTGAGGTTCCTGGTGGGAGCACCGGCGTGCTCTTTCCTGGGATGAGGAGGGCTTGATCTGTGGGATGAATGTTAGAGTGTGGTGGGTGTGGGGCATCCCTGTCTCCCCCCCCCAACAATGATCTTTGCCAGCCATACAGGTCCCAGCTGAAAAGCCCCTTCCCTATTTGACCGCCCCGTCTGAATGAGCGTGCAGCCACTCCTTGGCACATTGCACAGTTTTCACTCTTTTCCCAGCATTTACCGCTAATTGCTATCTTAAGTGCCTTCGCCACCTGACTGTAGGTTTCACAGTGTATCGGTGAGCTCTGTCTGTGTAACAAACCTCCCAACACTTAGTGACTCGAGACAACACTTATTTCTGATTTGTAATGATTTCTGGGGTTGACCTGTGGTTTGTCCAGCCTGGGCTGCACCTAGCCTCTCCTATCTGGAATGGGCGGCCGAGGCCTCTCCTGGTGTGGTTTCTTAGCCCAGCAGCCAGCGAGGGCCTGCCCCAGTGTGCACGTACTTATCAACCCTCTGTTTGCATTAAATTTGTTAACGTCCCATTGGCCAAAGCAAGTCACGTGGGCAAGCCCAGATTCTCTGAATGGGGAGTACGCGCACTTCTTGTTGGGACGGGCTGCAGACAACTTGTGGCCTTGTAATCTCCCACGGGGAAAGTAGATCGCCTGTTTCCTTCACTCATGTATGCCTGCGGCTTAGGATGGGTACTGGCAAAGGGCCAGATAGTAAATATTTTCAGCTCTGAGGGCCATATGGCCTCTGTTGCAGCTATGCAGCTCAGCCCCTGTAGGGCAAAAGAACCATAGATGATACGTCAACCAGTGGGCGCGGCCAGGCTCCCACATAATGGCATTTACAAAGACAGGTGGCTGGCCAGATAAGGCCTGCGGGCCATCATTGGCCGATCCCTGGCCTAGAGTATCACCTGTCACCTTACAGGTGCTCAGGGAGTTATTTGCAGAATCAACAAAAGAACCCAAACATTGGGTCCCTGTTCCACTTCCTCCCCAGCTGTTCTAATGTCAGCCGGGTGTCTGTGGGGCAGTTCTGACCCCAGCCACCCGGAGTGAGCATCGGGCTGTGCCCTCCACAATCCAGCGCTCGCTCCAGACACCAGCCACGCTTCGGGGTACCCAGGCCACCCACGCTTCTCCTCGGCTGGCTATACATGTAGGGGTTCTCACATATCCTTTTCAGGTTCAGTAATTTGCTAGAACAGATGACAGTACTTTAAAAAAAAAAAAAAAAATCCATACCATTCTGTCAGTCCCGAGCCCGTTGATGGTAGCACCCTTGGTTAGGGACGCTGGCAGGGGTTGGCCAGGGGGTACACGTCGCTTGTGGAGAGCTCCAGACGTTTCCCCGTCAGGGCCCCTGTTTATCGCTGGGCCAGCCCTTGTGGTTCTTCCTATGATCGCTCGACGCACTTCAGCAAAGACTATCTGGGAACTTTGAGAAACAAGGGCGATGACTCAGGAGTCCTCACAAGAAGGCACACGGCAGCCTCGGGGGCCACACAGCGAGGTCACGGGGAAGGAGAGAGAGAGAGAGAGAGAGAGGACCTGTGGCTCTGCCTTTGTTAGGACCCGAGGGCGGGTGTCCACGGTTTTGTGGGTTCACCCTTTCCTGGTGAATTTAAAGCATAAGAAGAGGAATTGGGGTGGGAGGGAGACGTGGGGTCCCTCGGGCAGTCAACCATCTAGGCCCCCAGAGCTTTCTCAAAGAGGGGGCTTCGGGGGTGGGCAGCCGAGTTCCGTATCTGGTGTGTGGCTCGGGGCTGGGACTTACTGCTGACGGAACATTGATTCCAGCGGGACGTTGGGAATCAGAGCTGGTCAGTGTCAGGCACTGACCCTGCACACATTCCCAAGTACAGCTTCATCCTTAATTACTGCGGAGATGCCCAGCTCTGCCCCGTGGAAACTTCACGGAGCCAGTGTCCAGAATTTCCCCTGGGCTCTCATTACAGAGCTGTGATCTGGGGACTTCTTGACCATGTGATTGAACGCCCATCTTCAGTGGCTGAAAAACCCACAAATCGGATCCCACCTTTGGTCTTCTGGGTGACCGGCCCCCATCCTGCAGCTACACGGGGACCCCCTATGCTGTCCCCTTGGTAGCATAACAAAGGGGCTCCCACCTCTCAGGGAATGCCAAGAGCCTTTGAAGCTCTGTGCCAGGACCTGGGACTGCTGTCACCAAGGTCATTCTGAAGAATCGGATATGCCAGGGCTGTGTGACGGACACCAGCAGCAACAGTGATACCACTAATGAAAAATGGTCATCAGAGCAAGGACTGGTGATTCCTGTTCTCTACATGCCACGTGGTTTAGACGGTTTCTCCCCTTGGGAAGTTTGGTAAAACCCTCTCTGGACTAACTTGGGTGCGTGCCCACCACCTCTGAATCCCCGGGGACGGGTAGAAGGTGGTGTCCAGCCTGGCCTGGATCCTGTGTCTTGCCTGGACCTCGGAGTGCTGTGCTAGCCAAGAACCCTTCAAGGACCACTGGCTACGGTCAGCAGAGCCAGAGGCTGCCTCTGTCACACACTGTCCTGTGCCAGGCTGTGTTACAGGTGTGGGCACATCGTACCCCACGCAACAGTAAGCACCTGGTCTCCTTGGGAGCGGTGGCCGCAGTTCTGCCCTGTGGGAGCAGCCCCACCATGGTATGGGGCAGTGGAAATCCTCTGAAAGGCCCATCAGCTTGGAATAATTCCCATCATGTGATAACACCCAAGTCCCATCCCTTCGGTGTGATGGCATGAGTCCTGCCTCTTTGGGGTAGAACCGGATCCTCCTGGGGGTGCAGAGTGAATCCCATTACTTTGGGGTATGTGGGAGCCCCGTCGTTTTAGGGGAGAAGCGTGAGTCCCCTAGGACTAGCTGTAGGACTTGCTGGCGTGGAGGACGGCACACACCTGCCACTTTATGCGGTGGTTCTTACTGGGGGTGATTTGTCCCCCTGTTGGCAGAGGGGACGATGTTTGGAGACATTTTTGGCTGGCATGGAGTGTGGGAGGTCCAGGGGGGCTCCTCACCACCTTCCAGCGCCAGGACACGCTCACCACAAAGAATTTCTCCTGCCCTGCATGTCAGCAATGCTGTGGTTGAAAGGCCTTAGGGTAACAGCGTAAGTCCCGTCCCTTGGGCCCGGTGCAGTCCTGGCATGTGGGGTCCTGGGTGCCCTGACCCCCTCTCTCCACTCTGTCCTCAGCCTGATGTGCACTCCATGCCTGGGCCCCTGTCCCAAGGTCTGCCACATCCTGGAAGGCGAGAAGACCATTGACTCGGTGACGTCCGCCCAGGAGCTTCGAGGCTGCACTGTGGTCAACGGAAGCCTCATCATCAACATCCGAGGGGGCAGTGAGTGCTCTGGGGGCAGGGGGCTGCCCCGGGGGCGGGGACCTACCTTCCCAGCTGCACACCGGGGGAGGAGTTTGAGGAGTTGGCTTCCAGACCGAAATTCAAATTTGTGGCTCAGTCCTGGCCCCGCCCACCTGGAGATTCTAGTTTTCCAAGTTGGGAATTGGCATTCTGACTTGGGAATTTGCATTTTTAACGAGTAGGCCACGTGCCCTGTGGCAGGTCTGTGGGCTGTGTTTCCAGAAATGTGGTTGCAAGCAAAAAAGGCATCCTTTTGTTTATATTTTCAGCAAGCATTTATCGAATGCATACTCACAGTGAACAAAGCAAAGCCCCCCACCATGGGTCCTACAAACACATCAGTGTATGACGTAAACTTGGGGTGGTCCCCACCATGGAGGGAAGTGAAGCAGGGAAATGGGGGGTGGGGGGGAGCCGAGATCAGCGACTTTTTCTTATAAAGGGCTGTAGAGTAAATACATTCAGCTTTGCAGGCCCCATGGTCTCTGCCACTGTAGAACTTGAGAACGAAGGGGCATGGCTCTTTTCCAGTTAAACGTTATTTACAAAACGGACTGGAATTTCAGCCACTGGGCTTCCTGTCATTTGCCAGCCTCTGGGATAGAGAATAAAGGGGTGTGCTGTTTTTGAGGGGGATGAGCGGGATGCCTTGAGCTGGAGATGAAGCAAACCAAGCAGATCTATGAGAGAATGATATTCCGGGCAAAGGAGGAAGCCAGTGCAAAGGTCCTGAGGCAGAAGGATGCCTGGCTTGCTTAAGGGGTGGTGGGGAGGCCCGTGTGTCTGGAGGAGGGCAAACAAGGTAAAGGATGAGGAAAAAAAATGCGCTGGTCACTTACATAGGGACTTGCAGACCCTGCGGTAAAGGCTTGGATAGTAGGATAGTACTCTAAGTTTGATACATTTTGAGCAGGGCATGTGGAAGCCACTTGCAACCTCTAGGCTGACTCCTCCCTATGGGTGATTATGGGAGGATTAAAATATTTCTGTAGAAGCTCACGGGATATTCTCCCCTTTCCTTAGACAACCTGGCAGCTGAGCTGGAGGCCAACCTTGGACTCATTGAGGAAATTTCCGGGTATCTGAAAATCCGGAGATCCTACGCTCTTGTGTCACTTTCCTTTTTCCGGAAGTTACGGCTGATTCGAGGAGAGACCTTGGAAATCGGGTATGTGGCCTGGTTCTGTGTGGAGCCCGGGTGCTTGCTAGGAGGTTCACGAGTTAAAGCGACTGAGGGGTTTCTGCCAAAACACGGAAACACCTGTGTCGTGGACGGACAAATGGATAAAGATGAGGCCCGTACATGCAGTGGAATATCACTCAGCCGTAAAAAGGAAGGAAATCCTGCCATTTGTAGCAGCGTGCACGGACCTTGAGGGTGTTATGCTGAGTGAAATAAGTCAGAGAAAGACAAATGCTGTAGGATCTCCGTCGCATGAGGAATCTAAAAACAAAACCACAAAACCAAGCTTCGAGACACAGAGAGTAGATTGGTGTTGCCAGAAGCAGGGGTAGGGAGCAGGAGGAGACAGGAGGAGACCCTCCCCGGGGGTCAGAGGGGACGGACTTCCAGTCATAAAAATAAACAAGTCCTGGGGTGTAATGTACTCATCGTGACCATTGTTAACAGTACTGTATTCTACATTTGCAGGTTGCTAAGAGCGTAAATCTTACTTTTTAAAAAAGATTTTATTCACTTATTGGACAGAGAGCACAAGCAAGGGGAGTGGCGGACAGAGAGAGAGGGAGAAGCAGTCCCCACTGAGCAGGGAGCCCAATGCAGGACTCGATCCCAGGACCCTGAGAACATGACCTGAGCCGAAGGCAGACGCCCAGCTGACTTCTAACATTTACGTTCTTAGCAGCTTTTAAATATGTGATACAATATCATTTCATGTACTTAGAATGACAGAACTTAGGGGTTTTAAAGCCCCCATAGAATCTGTTAGGGGACAGTGCCTGGAGAAGCCTGGAGAGGAAGGAATGTGCTGGGACGTGTTGAGAGACCTAGCCAAGGAAGTAGATACGGTCACTCTTGGGAAATCTCAGGGGCTACAACTCAAGCTCTGTGCCCTCCAGGTGTGCTGTGGGCTTCGTTATGAGTCGGCACACTGCCTTGACCGGGACCCTGGGAGCTCTGTGCCCTCTACCTTCTCACCACTTGGTCCCCTTTGACATTGACTCTTCCTTGCTGAAATTCTCATCTCTGGCCCATAGGATTCTCCTTTTTGGAGATACTCTCCCTGCCTCCTCCTCTCCATCCCAGGCCCCTTCACTCCACCTGCCTTTGAGACTTGCCGTGGGGGGCTCCCAGCCTTGGCTGTCTCTCTAGTGATCTCCTCCTACGTGTGCTGAGTCCGGCTCTGGCTAACCCTCGAGCCTGTCTCTAGCCCGGCGACCCCCAGAAGCCTCAGATGCCACAGGTACAAAATGGAACTCCTCTCCTGGCCCTAGTTGTCCATCCTCATTTCCCAGATCCCCTCCCCTCGAGGTCTACTGACTCTATTTAGGTCAGTAAGACAACAGAAAGCCAGACTAGCTGTGTTTCCTGCAGATGGGGATAGACTCACGAGTGACAAGTCTGAGGAGGACTGTCCAGCAGGGACCCAGGTTCTGTCCATTCCGTGCTCCTTAGGGTCACAGCTCCAGCTGCGGCCCCACTATCTTGGCGTTGGAGGTGATAAGCCAGTGAATGACTGGGCTTGTGTATGTTTCCGTAGGAACTACTCTTTCTACGCCTTGGACAACCAGAACCTAAGGCAGCTTTGGGATTGGAGCAAACACAACCTCACCATCACTCAGGGGAAACTCTTCTTCCACTATAATCCCAAACTCTGCTTGTCAGAAATTCACAAGATGGAGGAAGTTTCGGGAACCAAGGGGCGCCAGGAGAGGAACGACATTGCCCTGAAGACCAACGGGGACCAGGCGTCTTGTAAGTGGTGATGTCCTGGTCCTTCCAGCCCGTGGACCAGATAAGGTGTCCACCCTCCTCCTTGAGGACTGGCCCCCGGGTGAGGGGTGTCGTTGCCTCTCAATGAGCTGGAACAACTCTGGGTCATAGAGTCCTGCTTCTGAAATACGGAGGACAGGTGTATCTTATCTTAGCGACTAGAGAGATAACAGTGCCTGATTCTGGCAGATGCCTCATCCGCATTGAATGAATGAATGAATGAATGAATGATTCAGTTCCTCCGTATAGATGGCCTTGGCTCCAGTGCTCTAGCAGGTCCCGTAGATGCTAATAGAGCCAGAGGCTGCTAGCTGGTGACACTCCCCTGATAGGTTCTCTCTGGAAGGGACATCCGAGCCTTGAGGCGCTAAGGGACTCCGGTCATTACAGCGGAGTGTGGGAACTCAGGAGGGAGGGAGAGCAGGCTGGGGTGGAGCTTAAGGGATGCTTGCTTGCCTGCCGCTCTTTGTAAGGCCTGGTCTCTCCGTGATCGGCTCGCTCTCTGAACTCCCTCGGCACGTGTTCCATTTTGCACCAGGGTTGAACGTCTTCCAACACGTAAGGCTCGGAAGCCCACATACATGCCAGCATTGTGCCGGGACAGACGTTACTCTTGAAAATGACTTCTCCCAGTAATTACTGGCGAGGTGTCCTTCTCGGTGGGTGCTGACTGCTGTTATGTACTGTTGAGCCTCTGGCCAGGTCACTGGCTCATCGTAGGGGCCAGCTTGCGAGACCGGCTCTGGCCTCCGAGCCCCAGGAGGAGGCGTGTGGGAGTGAGACCCACCCAGGAGGTAGCAGACTGACATCCCCCTTCCTGTGGGCGCTCTTGGAGATGCAGGATCACCTGTTCCGGGCTGGGCTGAAGGACGTTTTTAGTGCTGATACTGTTAACTGTTTTTAAACTTTCCTAGGTGAGAATGAACTCCTTAAATTTTCTTACATTCGGACATCATACGACAAGATCTTGCTGAAATGGGAGCCATACTGGCCCCCTGACTTCCGAGACCTCCTGGGGTTCATGCTTTTCTACAAAGAGGCGTAAGTAGGAGATAAAAGAGGTGTGCGGGTTCGGAGGGTCCCCTTGGAGACTCTGCAGTCTCTCTCTTCCTTGGGGATGGCTGTCGTCAGTCCCTTTTGACCATCTCACAAGCCGGTGGCCTGGGAAATTAGTAAAATCCCCGTTTGTCAAAACCAGAAATTAAAACAAACCGGTTTCTTTTGCCAAGTTTCCTACAGCAACATCCCACTGTGCCTCATAATCTGTACATCTCGCCAGGACATCCTTAACGAAATTCACTCAGTCTGCTTAGTGGATTTTTAAAGATTTATTTGCATATCAATTTTGTATTTTTTCCCAACATTTAAAGAATTGTGACAACACCTACGTGACATAAAATTGGCCCCTTGGACTCAATTTCTCTGTACAGCTTGTTAAGCACATTCACAGTGTTGTGCACTTGTCTCCAGCATCCGTCTCTAGAATTTTCTCCTCTTCCCAAACGAAAACTGTGTCCATTAAACAACACCCAGTCATTCTGAGTACAGTTGGCCCTTGAACAATGCCAAAGCTAGGGGCTCTGACTCCCCTACCCAGCCAAAAATCCACACACAATTTTTATCCCTCCCCCAAACTTAGTTGCTAATAGCCTGCTATTTCCTAGAAGCCTTATTGATAACACAAACCATTGACTGATGTGGATTTTGGGTGTTATATGTATTATAGACTGTGTTCTTACAAGAAAGTCCGCTAGAGAAAAGAAAATGTTATTAAGAAAGTCACAAGGAGGGAAAATGCAGTTATGGTCCTGGACTGTAAAAAATCCATCCACGCACGAGTGGACCCACGCCATTCGGCCCACGTTGTTCAAGGGTCTGCTGTATGCGACTATGCTGAAAACATTTTTTTAAAAAAATTTTGTTTTTAAGTAATCTGTTTACCCAACATGGGGCTTGAATTTACAACCCTGAGATCAGGAGTTGGGTACTCCACTGACCAAGCCATCCAGGGTCCCCTGACTATGCTGAAATTTTAGAGGGTTATGATGGAAGCTGTGATAGTATTCTTATGAGTAATTGCACCATCTTCGAAGGTTTATTTTGCTGAGACTGTGTGCTGGAAAGTAGCACTCAGTCTGTCATGGAGTTTTGTTTTTTTTTTTTTTCCAAATTTTATTTCTTCATTTGAGAGCGAGAGAGTACGCCTGTGCACAGAGTGGGGGGGAGGGGCAGAGGGAGAGGGAGAGAAAGTCTCCCGCAGGCTCTGTGCTGAGTGTGGAGCCTGATGCGGGGCTCAGTCTCAGAACCCTGAGATCATGACTTGAGCCAAAATCAAGAGTCGGATGCTTAACCGACAGAGCCACCCAGGCGCCCCTCTCCCTCTCCTGTGGTCTTACCGATGAGTAGTGAGGTGGTTGGTACCAACATCACCACTCTTGATATAATTGGAAAATTGAGCTAGGGGTCCCTTCTCTTTGGGATCCGTGTCATTTTTCTTCGTGGCATAAGATTGTTGGTGAACAGGAGGCAGCCCTATAGGACGTCACCTTTTCTGTTGCGTCTCTCTGTCCTCAGAATGGGAGTCATGGAATGATAACCGCCTTCTGCTTTGTCTTGAAAGCCCTTACCAGAATGTGACAGAGTTCGACGGGCAGGATGCGTGTGGCTCCAACAGCTGGACCGTGGTGGACATTGACCCCCCTCTGCGGTCCAATGACCCCAAGTCGCAGAACCACCCAGGGTGGTTGATGCGGGGTCTCAAGCCCTGGACCCAGTATGCCATCTTTGTCAAGACCTTGGTTACCTTTTCTGATGAACGCCGCACATATGGGGCCAAGAGTGACATCATCTATGTGCAGACAGATGCCACTAGTAAGTGTTTTTTTTTTTTTTTTAAGATTTTATTTATTTATTTGACAAATCACAAGCAGGCAGAGAGGCAGGCGGTTGGGGGGGGCGGGAAGCAGGCTCCCTGCTGAGCAGAGAGCCCGATGAGGGGCTCGATCCCAGGACCCTCAGATCATGACCTGAGCCGAAAGCAGAGGCTTAACCCACTGAGCCACCCAGGCGCCCCTAGTAAGTGTTTCTGACACAAACTGGACATCTTGCCTTGAACACGTTGACGCAGTGATGTTGTAGGAAGGGCTCTGTGATGTGGTTATTGGCTTCTAAAAGAGCCTGGTGCCGGGCTTAGAATTTCAAAAGACAAGGCAGTAGCCTATGTGTATATTCCTTCCCATTCTGGAAAAATTTATTTTATTTTAAGGATTTTATTTATTTATTTGACAGACAGAGGTCATAAGTAAGCAGAGAGGTGGGCAGAGAGAGAGGGGGAAGCAGGCTCCCTGCTGAGCAGAGAGCCCGATGTGGGGCTCGATCCCAGGACCCCAAGACCACGACCTGATTCAAAAGCAGAGGCTCAATCCACTGAGCCACCCAGGCGCCCCCATTCTGGAAAAAAAATTTTTTTTAAAGATTTTATTTATTTATCTGAGAGAGACAGTGAGAGAGAACATGAGAGGGGAGAAGGTCAGAGGGAGAAGCAGGCTCTCCATGGAGCTGGGAGCCCGATGTGGGACTCAATCCCAGGACTCTGGGATCATGACCTGAGCCGAAGACAGTTGCTTAACCAACTGAGCCACCCAGGCACCCAAGGAAAATTTTTAAGTATCTACAAAAGTAGGAGGAAAATGAGCCCCACGGACTGTCTCCCAGCTTTGACAATTGTGTTTTGCTATTTTTATGTCATCTCTGTGCCCCTCCCCCCCCCCTTTTTTTTTGAAGGGGGTCAGGAATATTCCATAGCAGTTTAGTGGTTTTGTATTTTCATGAAGCCTAAGTCCTTCTCCTGTTGTGGAGGTCCTCAACCCTGGGGTGATTCTGCCCCCCGTGCTGCGGACACTTGGTGATGTCTGGAGACAGTTTTGGTTGTCGTGATGTGGGTCTGGGGTTACCAGTGTTGTATGCCGCTCCGTACCCGGCCGTGCACAGGGCAGATCCCACCACAAGGAATTACCTGGCTCCAGATGTCCTTGGTACTGAGGGAGAAACCCTGTCCCATGGGATACAGTCCAGGTGTTATGAGCCAGCCCCAGCTTTTTTGGTGGGTGCTCCCCCTTTCTTGTATCCTCCAGCAATACCAAAAGACTCCACAGTTTCTGGAAGCTTCTAACTTCCGGATCTTTGAACCCACAATGCTCTCTGCCTTGAGAGCCTCACCCCGCACCCTCAGACACCTGCGTTCTCAAGGGCTGGGTTTTGTGGAGCCCGAAGGTGTTACATTCCGGGGGGTGTTAGGTGAGGTACCGTCTCAGCGATATGGGTGTCCCCGTGCTGTAAGTTGCCCCATGACTGGGTTCCATTTGGGGCGGACGTTACCTGGAGAATGTGAGTTTGTTTCTCTCTTCCCACTATCCTCCCTTTCCCTCGCATCTTTCCAGTGCCTGGAACAGAGACAGCTTGGCACGCACTTGGAGCCTTCCTAGATGCGTGTTGCATCAATGAATGAGTGAAGGGGTCTGTAGTCTGCGGCATGAATGGACTGTCATCTCGTACCCTGGGCACTTGCCCCCTGAGCTTTCCATGCATCTCCAGTGTTCTCTGCTGTTAAATAACACCGCAGCGAACATCCCCATGATTTGTCTGACCTTTCTTACGCCTTCCTACGCCTGCCCGACAGCCAGTAACCCTCCTGCTCAACGGTGCACCTCTTCTCCCTTTCTCCTTTGCAGACCCTTCCGTCCCCCTGGATCCAATCTCCGTTTCTAATTCCTCGTCCCAGATTATCCTGAAGTGGAAACCTCCCTCGGACCCCAATGGCAACATCACACACTACCTGGTTTTCTGGGAGAGGCAGGCGGAAGACAGTGAGCTGTACGAGCTGGATTATTGCCTCAAAGGTAAGTGCCGGGGGTGGGGGCAGAGTTTGTGGGAGCAGATGATCCGCTTCCTCCTTCTGGGCAAGCATCCCCGTCCCCGCCCAGGCCCATGGAGGCTTCCCAGTCTAAGTTTGGGGGCATGGACCTACACACGCCATTGCTTCTTGTACCAAAACATGCAGACGCATTTCTAAACGTCACCGCCTCGTCCCACTGAAGACTCGTGTCAAAACCAGATAGTTCCCATGTCTTGGCGCCATTTCCTTCTGAAATTTTCTTCCCCTCCCCCTTCCCCACCGTGGGGATGCAGCTCTGTCGACCCCCTGGATTTGGGGGCTAAGCTCAGAGTTGAGGGGTTAATGACAAAAGTCAGGGAAGAGTTTTAGGCCCTGCATTTAGACCCTTAATGTTTTAAGGATTGAGGTAGCAAGGACTGGTCATGCGTTCCCTTCTGTGCTTTCCGTGAAAAATTTATACCAGTGATGACCTCCCCGCCCCCGGTCTTGTTTATTTAATAGGCTTCATAGGTTTCATCCATTTGCAGGAAAATAGAAAAATTTCTGAGCCTCAGACTAGTTTGTATAAATTAGTTTAAAATTTTAAAGCTGGATTTAAAAAACAAAAAACAACAAACCATCAAACCAAAGAAACAGATGTCATTTTTTTTCTTTAGGTTCTTTTTTTTTGGGGGGGGGTGTGTGTGTATATGTGTGCGTGTTATGTTTGTCTGTATTTATTTTTCTTTAGATGGTTTTAAGTTCGTGATTTCCTCAGCCCTTGACCTTGGAGGCAACGGCTCGGGGAGTGCTGGCGAGCGGCGGCAGAGGCCTCGAGCCTGCAGGCCACGCTTGGCGAGACCTCTGACCCGATGTAGGGCTTTGGGCGAGTCACCGAGCCGGTCGCTGGCCGCCTCCTTTTCGGGAGACGGGGCGGGAGGCCAGATCTCTGGGAGCTGTCCCAGCTCTAAGATCATGTGCTATATGTATGCCTGTGACCTCATCCCCCCACACGGCTCCCGCCCCCAAGCTGAGGCTTGCAAACGTGGTTTATCTCCTCAGACGCTTTATATAACTCAGGAGCAAACACAGGCCTCAGCTTAGCTGTGAGCTGTTGGCCCCGCATTCGAGTAACCGAAACCACCAGTTTGAACCACCACCAGCAGAGGCTCTCGGTGCTTTCCTTTTTTTTTTTTTTTAAAGAGTAACAACTTTAATTCTGTCATTACAATGTGGCTGTTTAAACATGGCTTAATTTGTAATGATCAGGGAGTTTATGGAATTAAAAAATAAACTGAGGACCGATATAGTACGATTCCACCCATAGGAGGTCCCCAGAAGAGTCCCGTCCACAGAGGCAGAAGGTAGATGGTGGGAGCCAGGGCTCAGGGAAGGGGAGGGGAGTCCGTACTTCATGGGGACAGAGTCTCTGTTTGGGGAGATGGAAAGTTCTGGAGACGGAGGCTGGGGGTGAGGGCAGGATGGTGTGAGGGCGCTTTGTGCCGCTGAGCTGTGCACTTAGAAATGATTAAGACGTTAGATTTTGTGTTAATGTGTATTTTACCACAATTTGAAAAAAAATACGTAAAACAAATAAGATTACTAATTATGACTAATAGTGGTTTCCCCTTAGCATCACCAGGGGCGTCCCTCCCCCCGCTCCCGGCTTTATTGAAATATGGTTGAATTATAGGATATTGAAAGGTAAAACTAAGATATTGAAAGTGCCCGTCGGGATGATTTTGATACACCCGTATGCCGTAAAGGGATTTCTCCCAGGTAGGGAGTTAGCTCATACATCCATCACTCAGTTTTTTCTCTTGTGTGTGTGTGTGTGTGTGTGTGTGTGAACATTGAAGTTCGATTCCCTTACGTATTTCAGTCTTAGAATCCAGCTGCATTTTTAAAATTACCAACTGCATTTTTAAAAATTCTGGTGAAATATATAACATAAAATTGATCCTCTTAACCATTCTTAAGTGCACGGCTCAGTGACAGTAAGCACACGTATTACTGTCCCCGCCATCCTTCTCCAGAACTTTCCATCTCCCCAAATGGAGACTCTGTCCCCGTAAAGCACAGACTCCCCAGCCCTGGCTCCCGCTGTCTCCTCCCTGTCTCTGTGAACAGGATTGTCCGAGGTGCCCCATTTCCTATACTTTTACTGTGTAGTCACAGAGGAACCATGGGCCACTTTGTGCCCTGAGGTGGGAGCCAGAGAGTGTAACAGGAGTGAGGAAGTGTGTCTGACCTGATCAAAAAGCCCTTTCCTCTCCAGAAAATTCTCAGGATCCTCCCTTACGAAGGACACCCGAACTTTTCCTTCCGCCCATAATGCCATGACCAGTCCCTGTAATGGTTAACCCAGCCGGGTTAGTCTGTGCTGTTCATCAGTGTCGCAGGTGTCTTTAAGAGCCCCTTGCGGCCGTTCACTGCTGTATAAATACTGGGGCTTCCGAGTGGGTACTCCCCGTTCACGGGAAAGGACTCCGGGCCCATTGTCTCCAGGACCCATTCAAGGGGAGAGGAAAGAAGTGCTCAGTCGCCCTTAGGAGGCTCCAGGTGCCAGGGCTGGCGGCGGGGAAGGTGAATCCCAGGGCCCTTCGTGGATTTTGCCCAAAGAGAGTAGCTTTCACACTTGCCAGTCGCACTCAAAGTGCGTCTCGGTGGCTCACACGGTGGATGGCAGGCAGGTGTCCCTGGGATTGGACTCAGGGGTTGAGACACGGCCAGTCCGTGGTACTTGAAAAACAACTTTGTGTTTTTGAGAAATGTACCCCCCATCTCCCCTCGTGTCGTTAGTCCAGAGTTTCTCTCCTTCAGCGCTGTCGACATTTGGGGCCAGATCATTCTGTCGGGCGGGGCTGTCCCGTGCCTTGTGGGATGGTCAGCAGCAGCCCCCACCGCCCCGCCCGGCCTCACTGGCACCTACCCACCCCCCCGGGTGCCGGAGTCTCCACCCCTCAGTATTCCTCACAGCCGGAACATCTCTAGACCTTGCCCAGTGTCCTGGGGGTGCAGGACAGTGCAGAATCCCCTCCTCCACCCCCGACCCTGTGGAAGGACTGCAGCTCTCCTGATTTCTGGGTTCCTGCAGAAACTGTGGATTCTTTGATTTGGCAACCATTTGGTCTGTAGTTCGGACCCTTTATATGGCCTCCTGTCACTTTATATGGTTGACTGCCTGATTCATTCATTCATGCAACTGTCACTTGCCCCCGCCCCCAGCCTTTTTCTAATCCCACCTCCCACCATCCTGTCCCTCATCCTGTCCTCCTAGCTCCTTGGGGTTCTTGGTGTCTGTCAGTATGCCAGGGAAATCCCTACCCCAGGGACTTTGCACTTGCTTTTTGCTCAGTCCAAACTGCTTTACACCAAGATGCGTGCGTAGCTCATTCCTTAATTTGAGACTGTGCAGTGGTCACTTCCTCCAGCCCGATGGGGTGACCTTGCTGTTTCTGGAACACCCTGACACGCACAGATGTCCCGTGCGCCCAGCCCCTCTGAGAAGGACCCCATTGGGGGCATGTGTGTTGCGGGGTGAGGAGAAGGATCCCAGGCCACCTGCTCTGCCTGTCTCTAGGGTTGAAGCTGCCATCCCGGACCTGGTCTCCGCCGTTCGAGGCTGAGGGCTCCCCGAAGCACAACCAGAGTGAACACGAGGAGTCCGCCGGCGAGTGCTGCTCCTGCCCCAAGACAGACTCCCAGATCCTCAAGGAGCTGGAGGAGTCCTCTTTTAGGAAGACCTTTGAGGATTACCTGCACAATGTGGTGTTCGTCCCCAGGTCAGGACTCTTCGTTGGCTCCATGTGGGGGGCGGTCATGACCTGGGGAACAAGGTGAAGGGGAGACCCAGGGCGGGGCGGGTAAAGGAAGAGATTCAGTAAGAAATAGAGCAAGTAAGCACTCCAGACGGGGGAAAGTTAAAAAAAAAAATAAAAACCTGAAAAACCCTCAACATTTGCTTCCCCATGTAGCCCAAACCCTAGCCCAGCCTCGGGCCTCCATCTGCGTTCTTAAATGAGTTCCATTAGATTTTGTGGCAGAAGGAATGCTCCCGTGGCCCCGTGCTTGAATTATCTCGAAGTCTCAAGCTCAGAGTATTTTCTTTGTTCATCTCTCCACCCTTCTGCGGCACCTTCAAAACCCGGAGGCTTCTCCTAGTTAAGCCTGTTGAGTTTCCTTTAGCGAGTGAAAGGCTCTGCCGATGTCTATTGGCGGGGAGAGGGTTGGCAGTGACGACGACCCCAGGCTACTCATCCTGGTCCTTGACTTTCCCAGAGGCAGAGATGCTTAGGTAAATGGCTCGTGTCTCTCCCTGCCTCAGTTTACTTATCTGCCATGGGCTGATAATAGTAGCTCTTACTTCTTAGGACCGTGAGAATGCATGAGTCCCCCAGGCTTCACAGCCTTGACCCTGGGGACGTTTGGAGCCAGCTGAGCCTCTGCTGGGGGACCTGCCCGATGTCAGCACCTGCGTGCACCCCTTTAGTTTCTGAGTCTTTAGGGTAACGCACTGATGCAGCTGTCACCTCCCTTCCACGGGTCCAGAGCCAGTGTTTCTGAGCTGGTGAGGGACCCGACCTGGTTCTGGCAACTGTGAGGGGGGTAGGCTGTGAGCCGCCCCCTGTCCTGTTTCCCTCACCTCCCTCAGTGAATGGGGTCCCTGGCAATGTCTTGAGGCAACGGGCTGTTTCCAGAGGTGGATCGAAACCCCAAAAGGGTGACATTGGGATTAAATAAGATTCTAAAATGGGTCCATTTGAATGCCTGCCATCGCTTCTCACATGAATAGATGTTTTCCCAGAACCACTGTTGTGTGACATTTTAAAAAAAAATTTCTTTCTTGTTTTTTTTTTTTTTTTCCCTCCATGACCCTGAGTCCAAAGAGCACTAAATGTCACAGCCCAGACATGGGGGGCAGTTACCGTCTTACCCGTTAAAAACAAAATGCTGCTGGACTTAAGGAAATGGCTGAGTCAGTTGTGATGTTTAAATGTAGTCAAGTTTGGCATGTGAAGGGGGACCCCAGCTGGCCAGGTCTTGGGGCCGGTCGGGTATTTTCTCTGATTCTTCCCTCCCCCTCCTGCTGTGTTCTCTGCATCTGATGGGGAGACACTGTGATTTGGGAGGTGGGAGACGTGGTCCACCGTCAAGGGCAGGGCACCCTCGGGCTGCTCAGAGGGAACGTGGCAGAAGCCAGAGGTCAGAAGCCAGAGGTCTGCCTGAACGGGTTTTGTCTGTCCTCAAAGTGGTTGGTTTTGTTTTCACAGAAAATCCTCGTCAAGCCCTGGTGCTGAGGACACTAGGTACGACTCCCCTGCAGGAGGTCGGCATGGCCGCTGGGGGCCAGGCAGGGCAGGAAGCATGCCGTGTGCCTTTGAGACTCCAGAGGCTTCCGTGGCTTTAATGCATGTGATGGGCTGCCGTGCCAATCTGGGAGGCTTCGTGAATTCATACGGGAACTGCCTTCATCCTCAGATGGGGTCTGGGCGTGAATGCTGGGAACGAGTCTGCACTAACACACCCTTAACTAAAATGTAGACTCAAGGGGCGCCTGACTGGCTCAGTCTGTGGAGCAGGTGACTCTTGATCTCTGGGTCATGAGTTCAAGCCCCACGTTGGGGGCAGAGTTTACTTAAAAAAAAAAAAAAAGAGAGAGAGATAGACTGGGGGGGGTGTACTTTCTGGGCACCTTGTAGATGCCACACGTTGCCCTCTGTGCAGTCACTCGCTAAACACTTACTTACCAGCACCGACGGTGCGGGCTGGTCTGTGCCTGGAACGCAGAGTCTCTGCCACGTGCAGCAAGTAGTGAGGGGGCAGAATGTTTTTATTTGGGGTGACAAGTGCAGGGCTGCAGGCGTGCCGTGTCACTGAACTCCCCTGTGGACGGGACGGCTTCCCTGCGATTGGTGTCTTGAAGCACCAAGGTGGGGTTGCCCTGGAAGAGAGGACAGGCAGAGAAGCTGCGGAAAGGAAGGCCTTGGGATGAATCACGGGCCCCTGGAAGGAGCCAGCGGTGGGGAGGTGGGGCGGGGGGAGACTGGAAAGGCAAGTCAGGGTCATGTGGAGGGATGTTACTCTCTCTGCTGTATTTTTTCAGGCTTATTTGTGTGGCTCTGATCTGACCTCTAGTGGCCATTTGGAATATAACCTGCAGAAAAGAAAAGCCTGGACCTTTGAGGCTTGGGGTCTGCATCGAGTGTTTCTCAAATCTGATGCGTACTGACCTTTAGGGTCAGATCATTTTCTCTTGTGGGGCCCACCCTGCGTGTGGTAGGATGTTGGGGCATCCCAGGTCTCTGGACTCACAATGCTAGTAACTGCTCACGTGTCCCCCAAGTAGTGACAACCAAAGATGTCCCCAGACAGACATGGCAAATGTCCCTTTGTGGCGGGGTGAGGGGCAGACTCACCCCTGGTTGAGAGCCAGTGGTTTGCTAGGAGATTGTGGGGTGTGAAGGTCACGGGGACTTTGAGAATCCCAAACCACAGATAGCGGTGGAGCGGTGGGGGGGTGATTGCATATACATCCGGCTTGTTTGATGAGACCTTTTCATGTTTCCAGTTGTGCGGACACCCATTTCCCAGTAGTTTTTCCTGAGGCACCAGTATCGTGGTCATTTGGGAAAAGGCCCACTTGTGCCTGGATGGAAATTTCTGAATCTTATTAACATGGGTGTATCTTTGGTTTCCGTCCAAGAATGTCACTGGTCTTTGCATATCAAGAGACCACACAAAAAATCTTAGTGCAAAAGGGTTTTTCTTCTGACTACAGTGCAGTAGAAACTAAAAATTGGCTTCAAACATTTGAGCAGAAAAGTCCTCCCTGGTGATATAAAGTTGAACACTTCAATACCTTTTGGAAGAAGCAGACCTAGAGACCTGCATTAAAGTCCATTTGGAAAATAGTGGGAATGCGAATATCACATATCTTAAATTTGTAGAGTATCACCAAAGCTTGGGCTTTGATGCGAATTAGTCGCTTTAAATGATCTTGTAAGTTAAGAAAAAAAACCCTAAAAGGTAAAAAAATAGAAATGTATTGTGAGGGAGGGGAATCCAGATGGCTCAACTTGCAAATATAAGAATGGGAACCACAAGTAACTAGAAATAAAGCAGGTGATCTGAAACTAGGGCCAAAGGAAGATTTTAATGTTGAATTCTCTGGACAGTCTTGTGTTATTCAAGTTGAAGCTTTTGGTGAGGAGGGAAGTTTTAATTTGATCTGATTCAAGATGAAGCAGAAAAAATGAAATAGTCCACTAACTTTGGTAAATGTGTAAAAATTATGTCTCAGAAAGGCCCTGGGCCCAGAGAATTTTACAGGTGAGTTATTTGAAACTATGTGATACAGAAACTTTTTCTGAGCATAGAGATCAATGGAAGTCTTTCCAGGTCATTTTATGAAACCAACCTAATGTCTCTTTAGCTGAACATGATGTAGCTGTGATGTTGGCAGCAACCCCAGGACTAGCCAATGTGACACTTTAGATCCATACGTCCTAAATGTAACAGCGTGCTGACAATATAGTTTCACTCAGAAGTACAAGGGTGGTTTACGATCAGCAGAGAGGATAATTCATCAAGGGACCCAGTAAAGGAAAATCATGAGATAATCTCATGAGACAGAATTCATTAAAAACTCCTAATTTAGGGAAATGAGTGAAAAGCGGGAGTAGAATACTTCTGCTACAAGGTAAATAAATATTACCTAGATGAAACCAACAGCCAAGCTAACATTGTACTTAAACTGTCCCTGTTCCATTTAGGAGGAAGCCCAGTGTCGTCATTACTAATTAACGTCTTCCTGGGTAGCCAGCCAATGCAATAAGGCAAGAATAGCAAAGAGTGGATTGTGGGAAGTAACGTCATTATATTAACAGTCCAGTACAAGGATAGACTCACTGTGGTGTCACAGACTGGCTGCCCGTCTTTTTGTCATTGAAGTTTCATCGGAAAGCAGCCACACCCATTTGTTTATACTTTGTGTACTCCCACTTTCAAGCTATAATAGCTGGAAAGCCGTTGAAAGTTGCGTAGAGACAAAAAGTACTTGGGGACACAGGTCCTGCAAAATCCAAAATCTTTACTTCCTACCATCGACAGGAAAAGTGTGCCAACTTTTTCTAGTGTGCTCCTTGGAAACCCAAGGATAGCAACTATGAAAATCTTGGAGGAGAGTTTGGGAAAGAAGGTACAATGTAAATTAAAAAGCCTGGTGATACACTAGCAATAGAATAGAAAACAGAGGAGACAATCCCTTGATCTCTTTCATAATTGCCATACCACTTTGGTAACCCCATGGAGAATTAACTATACAGGAAAAAAGGTAAACGTCTGTGGAGCTCTCAGATTTTCCGGATACGCGTGAAAGACTGTTTCGAATCATTTACAGAAATCTCACCAGCTGTGTTAATATCCTTAGTGAATAAACAGGGTAACAGTAGGAACAGTGAGGAAAGTGCAAGAACGTCATAGGAGAAGATGGACGAGTTCCTTAGAGAAACACAAAAGACCAAGGAAGGAAAGACAGGTTCACGTGGAGTGGTATTAGGAGTTAACAAACAAAGCAAAAGGGCCTTGTTTTTCAGTCAGTCTCTTGGGTTGAAAATCTGCAAACCAACAAACAGACAAAACCCAAAGAACCCTTTAACCCTGAGTACTGATGAGGCTATCCCAAGGTGCATTTGAGGGGCTGCTGGGGAGACCCCCGATCAGTTGAAATGTCTGGGAGAGCAGTTTTGCTGTGTGGATGAACAGGCACAGCCTAGCTATTTCCCTTCTAAGAGTCTAGTTTTAGGATCTGATAAGATAGTCTGACAGTGACCAAAGTGGTGTTTATAAGAGCAGAAAACCCTGGGATCCTCCTAATACAGACATCCTCTGAGGTCCTGTGGGCTCGGTTCCAGACCCACCGTCGTTAAGATGGGTATTGCAGTAAAGCAGGTCTCCTGAATTTTTTGGTTTCCCCAGTGCATGTAAGTGTTCTGTTGATACCAGACTATAGTCTGTTAGGAGTGCCTTAGCATCACGTCTAACAAAACAGTACACACACCTTAATTTAAAAATACTGCTACGGGGCGCCTGGATGGCTCAGTGAGTTAAAGCCTTTGCCTTCGGCTCGGGTCATGATCCCAGGGTCCTGGGATCCAGCCCCGCATCGGGCTCTCTGCTCAGCAGGGAGCCTGCTTCCTCCTCTCTCTCTCTGCCTGCTTCTCTGCCTACTTGTGATCTCTGTCAAATAAATAAATAAAATCTTAAAAAAAAATAAAAATATTGCTACAAAATGCAGACCATCCTTGGGGCTTTCAGTGAGTCGTACTCACCGATCACAGATCGCCGTGACATATACGATGATAATGAGAAAGTGCGAAACAGAAACCCCAAAAGGTGACCCGGAGACACACAGGAAAAGTTGCTGGAGAATGGTGCTGGTAGACTTGGCCCATGCAGGGTGCCACACACCTTCAGTTTGTAAAAATGCAGGATTTGCAAAGCACCGCAGTGCCAAGGGCAATAAAATGGGGGCATGTCTGTATTAAATAAAATAGGAGGATGGTTAGTAATTTATGGCTCGTGCATTAAATTGAGCATTTTCCAATTTTCTGCATTGAGCATATGCTCCTTTCCTATCGGGGAGGGAAAACCTTCCCACTGAAAAAGACAAAACGTAAATTCTGTGCTAAGTACTTAAGGTGTTATGTTTTAAGGAAGCTCTCTGATGCATGTTTCCAGCAGAACCAGCGAACAAAGGTTTACAAAACTCGCTTGGTCCTCATTATACCTACACATAACATTTCTAGGGAAAAAATTGCCCCCAGGAAACAGAGGGCAGCGGAACGATGAGTCATTTAAATTTTCTCTGTGCTTTTGTGTATGTGTGTTTATAAATTTTGAGGGTTTTGCATTCACGTCTTAATTTCTTAATTGGGGGGGGATGTGTATTGACTGCATGGTTTTATCTTTTTTTTTTTTTTTTTTTTTTTTGAGTACCCTTACCAACCTGAGTGGTAAGACTTTTTTTTTTTAACCTAAGAATTGAAATGTAGTCACTTCTATGATGTAGATGCCCTCTAGGGTCATAAGAATTAGAAGATGCGTCTTTCCTGTTTAGATAGGTGATGCTGGCCAGTAGTTTGGGCTGCTGGGCTCATGCCATTTGATGAGGTTCCTGAAAAGTTAGACTCTGACATGCTCTGGGAATCTGGTCTTTAACACTGACCTGGGGTGGCCAGTTAATCTGCAACGTGACAACCTAAAATCAAGCATGTTGAGGGGAATATCGGTGTGTGTCCCCCAATGATGGTCCTGGAGCCCCCTCCCCTTGCGGGTGTCCTGGAAAGCTGCTCTGGGTTGTAATTCTGGGCAATCTGAATTTAATTGCATTGCCACCTGCCCGTCCTTGGTTTTGAGACTTTTATCCCCCAGCGTCATTTTTTTATCTTCAAGACAGCAATCACATGACCGTGTGTGTATATGTGTGTGTCCTGCTGTCATGACAGGCCATCGCGGAAACGCAGGGCCCTCAGGGACGTTGCCAACGTGACAGCGGCCGTGCCCACAGCTCCAGGTTTCCCCAACACCTCGACTAGCACGCCTACAAGCCTGGAGGAGCACAAGCCTTTCGAGAAAGTGGTGAACAAGGAGTCCCTGGTCATCTCTGGGCTGCGTCATTTCACCGGCTACCGTATCGAGCTTCAGGCTTGCAACCAGGACGCCCCCGAGGAGAGGTGCAGCGTGGCGGCCTACGTCAGCGCCAGGACCATGCCCGAAGGTGGGTGGGCTCATCGCCAGCACCAGGAGACCTGGGCTCGCCAAGGGGCAGCCCTCCTCCTGGTAGGCAGCGTAGATGGGTATCTAATCTGCCTTTATCGTTTCTTATTTTTATGGGAGCCCGGCTTCCCCTAGCCAATATACAACTTCAGCAGATACACACACATAGACATATACGAAATATAAAGTCAAATTAAGAAATACATATCATGCATGGTATTAATCAGGGTTCTGCAGAGAAACAGAACCAGTGGGATATGAGCGAGATGGACAGACGGATAGGTAGGTATGCAGACAGTCCCGTGAAGATGTTGAGTTTTACGTGTCCACTTCCCTCATGGGAAAGTTTCACAAGCAGCTGGATGTGGGTTGCTCAGCTGGAGGTGGGATTTGATCCGGGGGTCAGGAGCCTGCCTCTAAGCACTGTCCTTACAGCCAAGGCAGACGACATCGTTGGCCCTGTGACCCACGAAATCTTCGAGAACAATGTCGTTCACTTGATGTGGCAGGAGCCAAAGGAACCCAACGGTCTGATTGTGCTGTATGAAGTGAGTTACCGACGCTATGGTGATGAGGTAAGACCTTCGGATGCTCGGGCACGTCCCTCAGAGCTGTTGCTGGAACCTACCCCCCCCCCATTTCTCTTCTTAAATTCTGGCCCAAATACTTCTCCTGTTGAATGCATTGTCATTGGGACTCCATGCCTTGATTTAGAACTTTCCAGGGAGGTGGGTGAGAAATGCCGATCTCCAGACTTATTTCCTCAGTTTCTCACATTTCAGCTCTGTCCTACAGGATGAACGATGGCTGTCTGCATGTGTGTTCCTCCTGACATCACAGGAGACCCATTTCACTTCAGTCAGAGTTCTCTGGGGGCAGAGGGAGAGGGAGAAGCAAACTTCCCGCTGAGCAGGGAGCCCAATGCAGGGCTCGATCCCAGGACCCTGCATCATGACCTGAGCCGAAGGCAGACACACTTAACCGACTGAGCCACCCAGGTTCTTAATAAGGAACTTTCCATTTCCTGGCAGACGCTGTGCGGGGTGGTGGGTGAACGCAGAGATGCCCGAGATAATGGCATTTAAGAAGGACAAAAAAGGAGCCACACTGTCCTGAGGGGTCACTGTGTGTCTCGCATGTATGAAGCCATGTACATGCGGTTTTATGTCCTTTATCCTTTTTTATCACGTCTAAGGCATGATGAGCGGCCACTGCTAAAACAAAAAAACAAAAACAAAAACTGCCAGTTCTAATTGTAAGTTGGTGTTGCTTCTAAAGCTGCCTTGCAATTTCAGAAATGCCAAAATGTGAAAATAATATGCCTCTCAGGACCGATGAAATGCAATAAATCCTCATAATAATCCAGCGAGCTTGGTCCAGAGGCAGCCAGGAATTTTTCGTCCAGGGTCCAGAAGAATAAAGTCAGGACTCAAACCCAAGACTGATGTTCTCACCCAAGGGTTGGCAGCTTTTTCCCTGTCGAGAGCCAGATACGGACCATGTTTGGCTTCGCGGCTAAACGGCCTCTGTTGCAAATACTTAGCTCTGCTGTTGGAGCTCAAAAGCCGCCCGAAAGAGGAGACGGATGCTCATGGGGATGGTTCTGTGCCGGTGAAACGTTTTATTGCAAAAGCAGGCAGTAGGCGGGCGTGGGCTCCAAGCGGCGCCCGTAACTACTGTGGGTGGATCACCATCCGCAGAAGGGCGGGGGTCTGCACCTGCCAGAGGAGGTGCAGGCTAGGGCTTGAATCCCCCTGCGGACGATTCTCCCCTGGACCGTGTGACTTCAAGCAGATGAGCCTCATCACCTCCTTGGGTTGGTCTGAGCCCTTCCCCCGTCCCAGACACAGCACCCAGTCCTTTGCAAGCATCTGCTGGAACCGCAAGGTGACCCGACCAGGTGGCATCTGTTAGTGTCTCCTTTTTTTGGCCAGGAGTGTGGACAGTGGAGGAGCTGAGTGCCCTTGCTCAGGGTCACACGCCCAGCATCTTAAATCCAGACTGTTGGGCTCCGGAACCTACCATCTGCGGTTGAGGCCGGTCACTTAGGTCAGAGGTCATTTTCTATAAATGGCCAGAGAGTTTAAGTTTTTAGTTTTGGGAGCCATAAGGTCAGGCTTGGGCATGAGTATTTTTGTTTGTTTGTCTGTTTGTTTGTTTTATAATAACAGTTTCACTGTGACACATTCACATACCATAAAATACGCCCATTTAAAATACACAGTTCGGGGCGACTGGCTGGCTTGGTCGGAGGAGCGCGTGACTCTTTGTCTCGGGGTTGTGAATTCAAGCCCCACGTCGTGTGTAGTGATGACTTAAAAATAAAATCTTTACAATACAATACAATAAAATACTCAATATAATGGTGGTTTTTTTTTTTTTTTTTTTTTTTAGATTTTTACAATTTTTAAGTCATTGCTACACTCATCGTGGGGCTTGAACTCACAACCCCCCAAGACCAGGATCTTAAACTCCACTGACTGAGCCAATCATCACATCAATTTCAGAGTATTTTCCTAAAAAGTCCCCCCAGGCCTCAATCTCCCCGTCCTCGTGTCCCACCAGTCTCTGTCAGCTGCTAACCTACTTTCTGTCTCTGGATATGCCTGTTCTCCGCACCAAATCGTACAACACACGGCCCTCTGTTGCTGGCTTCTGTCATTATCATAATGTCTCTGAGGTCCATCCCCCGGTGGCTTCCTTTTCCTGACTGAGAAATACTCCATCACATGGATGGACCACATTTTGTTACCCGTCACCCGTAGACAGGCATTCGGGTCATTTTCACCGTCTGGCCGTTGTGAATAAAGTCACTCAGGGCGTCCTCGTGCAAGTGTTTGTGTGGACACGTGGCTTCCGGTCTCCTGGGCGCGTACCAAGGGATGGAACTCCGGGATCCCAGGCCAGCTCTTTCCCCAAGTGGCTGCACCATTTTAGATCCCCAGAGGTAGGGTCTGAAGGTCCAGCTTCTCCCCGTGGTCGCCAATCCGTGTTCTGGGCCATGTTTTGGGGTAGGGCCGTGCCGGTGGCTGTGAGTGGCATCTCACTGTGGTCTTGATGTGCATTTCCCGGATGGCTTATTTGGGCCGAGTTTTGGGCCTTTCCCTGAACCCACGGGACTTGTCAGCTTTCGGGCGGCTTTGGGCAGTGAGGGTCGGCCCTGGAGCCGGGGTGGGGTTAAGGATGGGAGGCCAGAGCCCCTCAGGGGGGAGGGGCAGCTTCCAAAGGAAGTTCCAGGGGAACATAACCTTCAGGATGTTGTGGGCAGCAGGGAAGGGAATGTGGGTTCCGGGCCATGGGCAACACGTTTCCACTGCAGACCCTCCGTGGTTTTCTTCCTGCTGCTGTGACCGGCTCTTTCCCTGGACTTTGCCAGTGTCGAGCACTGAAGTCCTCCATCCTAGGAACCCCTTGGTCCTGGGTGAACTGGGAGGGTTGGTTACCCTGTTGGCATAAGTTCTCCCAGCTGCCTTCTGCGCGTCTGCCTCCCCCTCTTCCTAGAGTCCAAGGGTCACGGGTACGAATCCCTACTAGATCCTCAGCCCCACGTGGAGCAGCACCAATCCCACACAGACTGGCCCTATTTGCCCTTCAGGGGAACAGAGATTTGGGTGGGTAGGGGGCAAATAGGAGAGAGTGAGAGATTATAGTAACTTAAAAAAAAAAAAACCTTTTCATGGACAAGATGGTGGATCATCGGGGCGCCTGGGTGGCTCAGTGGGTTAAGCCGCTGCCTTCGGCTCAGGTCATGATCTCAGGGTCCTGGGTTCGAGTCCCGCATCGGGCTCTCTGCTCAGCAGGGAGCCTGCTTCCCTCTCTCTCTCTCTGCCTGCCTCTCTGTCTACTTGTGATCTCTGTCTGTCAAATAAATAAATAAAATCTTTAAAAAAAAAAAAAAAGATGGTGGATCATCTCCCACATTTTCTCTTTATTGCCTAGCATTGCTTTGATAAAGTAAGAAAATAATGCAAAACAATTTATTACACCCCATTAATAATACTGTTGGGGTATGATTTTGCCAGTTCTACAAAAATTCTCTCCAGCGTTTGGTGGGAGGTTTTTTTGTTTGTTTGGTTTTTGGTTTTTTGGGGTTTTGTTGTTGTTGTTGTTTTTCTGGTATTTGCTGGGTTCAACGCCAAAATCCCGTCTAGCTGCCTCACTGTGGCGGCTCTTTCTCCTTGAACCTCGCATTCAAGTCATTTGCCGTCTTACCTCGTCCCCTCTCTGCCCAAGAGGCCCTGGCCCCGGGGACCGCCCCCTCCCCTCGGGGAGGAGCATCGCTTCTCACTGTTGGTGTTCCCGTCTCCTTCGCTTCAGTGTCTGCCATGGTTTCGGGCTTCTGTCTCATTGGCACAGACTTTCATGGAATTGGCTTCTTTACTCTTTGTCAGATTTTGCTTCTCGTTTCCCTTTTCGTTTTTGGTCTTGCTGTCTGTGGAGACAGCTGCCTCATTGTCTAGTTCCTTCCATTCATGCTCCCTCCCAGTCCCCTCGCCCCTCGAGGTGTGTGGGGTCCCTGGCTAGTCTAGGAGGGTGCCCTTCCCCTCTGTCCCCCGATAGCAGCTACCTTTGGTTTCTGTATTTGCGTATTTGCCCATTTCTACTTGGTGACTCATCGGACTTGGACGGACCTTTGGACCGGTGCCCCCACCCCTGCCGTTAGCCCAATCAGCCCGATCTGTTTTCTTGCTGTTGTTGTCACATGACGAGCACCGGAGTTTTTTACGTTTCTTTCTCTGCCCACTGAAATTTTCCAGTCCAGCTCTCTGCATGCACTATTAACTTGGAGCTGTTTTGGAAAGTTTTTAAAAATTGGCCGGACGCGGGCAGGGTTCACGGTCTCACTTCCCAGTGAGCCTCTTGCCTCTTCTACTAAGCTCTGGATTGATCTCTGTTTGCACCCTCATCACTGGGGCGTGTATCCTTGTCTTACGTCCCCTCTGTTTTCAGAGATTGAGGTAGGGCCCTGCTTGTTTTCAGAATGGTCACATAATGCAAAGCAAAGCAAAAGGCTGCACCAGAGGAAGGAAGATTTACCATGTGTCCCTAAGACATTAAGCCCATGCATGCCTTTGGTTCTGAGGCCAGGAGATGTGGGGGCAAAGCCTGAAATTTGATCTAGGTGCTGTGGGTCTCTTCTTTCCTGGCCTTCTGGGACTTTCTAGAGGCCTGGTGACAGTGCCTCACAGTGGTTCCAAAAAGGATAGGAGCCACGTGGTTCTGGACTCAACAGGGGTGGTTGGCCCAGCCACTTACCTGCTAGGAGAGCTCCCACCAACCATTCCGTCTCTCAAGCAGCGGTCCGTGGACTATTTTTGTACGCCTGTGTTCATACAGCTTTAGAGCTAAGAATCGCTTTCCTGTCTGAAAGTGGCTGGAAAAATGCCAAGCGTCGAGAGAAGGATAGTGTGACGACACGTACCCACTTAACGTGAAGCTCAGCGTTGGGCCTCTGCAGTGTTCCGTGGGCACACAACCACGTCTGCTTGTGGACGGATGTTATGGGTTTGGGGTGGGTCTCTGGGTGCTTTCGCGCTGTGGGTCATTCATGTGGGTGAGTGGGTGACCATCTGGCCCCTTTGACAGCAAAAGTTTGTGGCCCCCCTAGCCCGGACCCCCGTGTCCTCATTTCTAGCATGAGGCTGAGCCCCAGTGGGGTTGTCACAAGAAGGAAATGACCCGGTCCAGGTCAGACGCATGGCTTGTGGTTTAGGAAGGGTCAGATTTTACCCACGATGACAGCCTCTGCAGCTGCCTCCTTCCCCGGAGAGCGAGCATGTGGAAATTGTGACGGTCCTGACGCGGCCTGGGCGCTCGGTGTTCTGATGGCACCTTCCTCCCTCTGTGGCCTTCCTGCCAGGGATGGGCGCTCCAGAATGGCCGAGAACAATCCCCGCGCCTCCCCCTGTCTTCCAGGAGCTGCACCTCTGTGTCTCCCGCAGACACTTCGCTCTGGAGCGGGGCTGCAGGCTGCGCGGGCTACCGCCGGGGAATTACAGCGTGCGAGTCCGGGCCACCTCCCTGGCAGGCAACGGCTCCTGGACAGAAGCCACCTATTTCTACGTGACAGATTATTGTAAGTCTGGGCTTGGGGCTGGGCGTGGCAGGGCAGTTCAGAGGATGGCCAGGGAAGCTCGGAGGCTATGCCCGCTGGCCCCGGACTTGACCAGGTCCCGGTCTGCTGGTGCTGCTGTGTGACCTGAGCAATGTGCTTGTCCTCTCTGAGCCTGTGTGTTCTTATCTGACCATGGGGAGAGTAAGGAACCCCCCCAACTGCCTTGGGGGTGAAAGGAGTTTTCAGTGACATTATGCAGGTCAAGTGGCTATCCCAGGGCATGTTAGATGAACACATTAGCTCTTGTTACTAGTGTCCTAAACTTGATTTTTGATGGGCTGTGCCCTCCAAGGGAGGACATGGGAGCTTGCCTGTGGAGTGTCAGATGTGCTCTTGATACGCAGGGAGTGAGTGCTGCCATCGCGTGCGCAGAGCACACTGTGGACAGTAGAGTGGGAGGCTGGGGAAGCTGAACTGGTCAGGGACTGCTTCCTGGAGGAGGTGACACCTTGACTGAGACCCGGAAGAATGTACAAGTGGGGACAAAAGAAGGCGGTCATCCTGGAATGTGGTCGGAGCCTAGACACTTGAATGAGTGAACAGATGACTTGGAAGGAGGGGAGATTCTAGACCAGGAGGAGTGGGAGCTTGCGATGGACTGGGGTGACAAAGCTTCTGCTTGCCTGGCTGGATTTTCACATACCAGGCCTGGTGGGACTTCAGAAAGTGGGAAGTGATTCCTGCTGGGAAGGCTCCAGCCAGGGTCAGGGCTGGGATGAGCGTCCCGACACCAGCTGGGCGTGCAGCACCACCATTCTGATGCTGCCTAATGGGGTGAACACAGACCCTGCCAGGTTAGGAGCACAGTTCCCAGCCAGACGGGCCTTACTTCAGATGCTGGCTATAAGTTAGGGGTTATTCAAGCCCCCTGCACTTCCAGCTGGCACCCCCAGTTGGCAACAAACTCAGGGGTTCCCGTGACCTCCCCCTCCCCAGATTCAGTCATTTGCTCGATCAGCTCATGGAGCTCAGGAAAGTGCTAGATTACAAGGACGGTGTTATTATAAAGGTTGTCAGTCGGGGCCACCCAAATGAGGAGACATACAAGGGAGGGTCGGGAGGGTCCAGGATGCTGAGCTCCTGTGTGTTCTCCCGGTGGAATCAGGACATGTGGCGTCATCCTCCTGGCATACCCATGTGTTCACCAGCTGGGAAGCTCCTCTGGGCTTTGGTGTGGAGGGTGTCTCTCACTAGGCACTGCTGAACACATCGCTGGCTGTGTGATGGAACTCCATCCCCGGCCCCTCTGCTCCCTGGAGCAGCCCCTCCGGTCCAGCCTTCCAATGACGTGCTTGGTCTGCCGGTGACTAGCCTGCATCCTGGGTCATCTCATCTCTTAGCATAAGCTCAGGTCTGTTCCAAGGGGCTCATCAATAATAAAGACACTCTTATTACCCAGGATATTTCAAGAATTTGGAGTCTCTCAAGAACCCGGGCTGCCATGAATAAAATTCCAAGGAAAATATCAAAGTGCGAAAAAAAGTTTGTAACATCATTGACAACGAGTTAATATCCTTGTTATAAAATGAATATATATATATATATATATATATATATATATGTCGTACATGAGTAGAAGATATAAATAAGTCCTAACACAAGCATAGACAATGTAAATAGCCAGTTTAAAACGAAATATAAAAGATAGAAAGCATAAAAAAAAGTCCAACCTCAAAACCACACCAAAAAAGGAAGGAAATTAAAACAAGAGGTAATTTTTAATTTATCGAATTGGCAAGGCGTTTGTTTCTGTTCAGTTATAGTACTCAGTGCTGTCCAAGAGTATAGACCCATGGACATTCTTTTTGTGGTTGGTGAATGCTACAATATAGCACTTTATTTTAAAGACTTTTATTGATTTTTTTGAGACACCAAGCAAGAGAGAAAGCATGAGCTTGAGGGGAGGGACAGAGGGACAGGGAGAAGCAGACTCCCCGCTGAGCAGGGAGCTTGATGGGGGCTCAATCCCAGGACCCTGAGATCATGACCTGAACTGAAGGCAGACACTTTCCTGACTGAACCACCTCCCCTAAAGCATACTACTTGAAAAATATGTATCAAACATCTTATAAAGGCTCTTACTGTGTGAACCAACAATTCTGGTTCTAGAAATTTATCCTGAGGAAATGAACAGAGATGTCCAGAAAAGATATGTGTTTGAGGAAATGCAATGCAGCATTACTAAAGATGCCAAAAAGTCTGGAAAATTACAGTTCTTTATTTTCTAACAGGGAGGCAAGCAAGGAACCGGGGGTGCACATTTTAAGGAGGTGCTTACCCCCAGGGGCTGACCCTGCGTCCCCGTGACCCAGAGCAAGAGCTCTCAAATTTTGCACACTGGGTGCTTCCCTTTCTCCACCCTGGTTCCCGTGGCCATGGGAATTGGAGGCATGAGCAGGACTGTGGGGTCTGGGAAGCTGAGACGGGGGTGCAGCCTGACTCTCAGATTGTGTCTCCAGACCTGCTAAGTCCCGGCTACTTGGTGGCCTCAGTTTCCCTGCTCCTAAGGAAGAAGGGATAGGGAGGAAGGGACATGCAGACAACCACGTGTGGCCAGTAGGTTTCCTTTTCTCGTGTCTCATTCAACCACCAAATATTGACGGAGACTTTCTGTGTCCAGGAGCTGCCGGGAAGGGGAGGAGGCAGTTTGCTGGGACTTCAGGGAGGGACAAGAGGTCTCGGGGTATACCTGGCCACTGAAGGCAGCGTGGGGCTGTGGCTAAGCACGTCCGCAGATGGCCTGGCTTGAAATTCCTGCTCCACCGTGGGTCCGCTCTGGGGTTTGGGGCAATACCCCTCCAGTCTCTGAGTCTCTTTTCCCAGTCTGGTGATTGGTCTTAGTCACAGCCTCTCCCACCGTGGCTTGTGTGATAATTAAATAAAATCAACCAGCACAGAGCACTTCACTTAGCGCCTGGTGTTTTCCTAAGTGTTCGGTAAACCTCTGTTGATAGGAAAGACCTTAGGAATCAGGGACCAGGGTCCCTCCGTGATTCCTTAGAATGCATTTTCCTCCTTGGCCCTGGAGAGTCTGAATACAGGGGTGTGTTTATAAATGCAGACAACTCGGCTTTACATGCAAATTTTTTTAAAAAGGAAAAAAAAAGGCTCCATAGCATTTCTTCCCTAAATTTAAGAGGATTTTTTTGAGGGGAGGACCTCTTAGCACACAGGGCCCTTCCTGGTGAATTTTTCATCTGTGAGAGGTGTTGTTTGGATGAAAATCGGCTGTCTAATTTGCGGAGCCCACTGCAGAATGAAAATGCAGGGCCCCTTGTTTAAAAATTATTAAGAAATTTTTTTTTTTTTTAGATTTTATTTATTTTAGAAAGAGAAATAGAGCACAAGCATGAGTTGGGAGAAGGACGAAGGGAGAGGGAGAAGTAAGCTTCCCACATACAGGGCTTGATCCCAGGACCCTGGGATCATGACTTGAACTGAAGGCAGTTGCTTAAATGACTGAGCTACCCAGGCGCCCCTAAAAATTATTAAGACTTTCAAGGTGGTGGCAGTGGGGCATTAAGGAGCAGGGCCTTTCAAGTGTGGGGACTTGGACCATGGCCTGGGTTGTGTGCCTGTGAAGCTGGCCCTGCATGGCGGAGGGAGAAGGCTGGCAGTGGGCGGTGTGGTCTGGGGGTGGGAGCCTCTGAGCCTGCCTTCCTGCCCCATGGAACCAGCCAGTGTTTCGGGACTGCTGGAAAAGAAGGGCTCAGGTGACCAGCGGAGAGGCTCCGAACAAGAGAGGGGGCAGGAGCGTGTGGCTTGCCGTTACAGGCGTGGGTGTGATTTGTGATAGGAACACATTTTGATGTGAACCATTTGTCTTCTTATTCTATTTCAGTAGATGTCCCATCGAATATTGCAAAAATCATCATCGGCCCCCTGATCTTTGTCTTTCTCTTCAGTGTTGTGATTGGAAGTATTTACCTGTTCCTGCGGAAGAGGTGGGTACAGCCGTGTGCGGATAAATGGTTAGACGGGCTCTCCGGGAAAGCAACCGTGCCTAGATACAGAGCGAGCGCTAGCTCAGTTTATGGTCAGTTTGACTGACATAAGGGATGGGCGTGGCCTGCAACTTACAGCTAATGATCGTAATACAATCGTAACGCTGGATCATAAATGCCCTCCTGCTGGTTGACTGTCACCAAATGCTTTGGTTGATTCCCCCCGCCTCTCCCCACCCCCCGAAACTTTGTCTCTGTAGCCAGCCTATGGTTGCGAGTGATGCAGGAACATGGCTCCAACCTGTTGACTGATACTTTGTTTTCATTAAAGAGGAAGGTAAAAATGAACTAAGATGTGGAGGTTCATCATTAAAGAAGTGACTTTGCTTGGTCAGGTAGTGACTTTTAGATACCGAAGGAACATTTTCTCAAATTTTTTTCCTGCCATTTGCAAATCGTGGCCACAGAGATGACATCTTTTTTTTTAAGATTTACTTATTTTAGAGAGCATGAGCAAGAGAGAGAGGGAGAAAGAGCCGGGGGAGGGTCAGGGGAGACAGAGAATCTCAAGCAGACTTCCTACTGAGTGTGAAGCCCAATGCAGGGCTCGATCTCATGACCCTGAGATCATGACCTGAGCCGAAATCAAGGGTCATCTGCTTCATGGACTGAGTGCCCCCAGGTGCCCCCAGATGACACACTTTGAAGCTTATTCTGCATTGTTAACATTTTTTGCCATCCCTTTCTCAAGCCTGGACAGACAACGGAACAGTAGATCTGGTCTTGGTTTGTAGTGCTTCTGTTTCTTTCTGTGGTGTAAATATTCCTACTGTGGCCAGTTTTCAAGCTACAGACCTACCACAGATGATAGTAAGAAGCAGTATAATAATTAGGAAGTGGTGAGTTTTGCTTTTAGTATCTTTTTTTTTTAAAGATTTTATTTATTTATTTGACAGAGATCACAAGTAGGCAGAGAGGCAGGCGGAGAGAGAGGGGGAAGCAGACTCCCCAGTGAGCAGAGAGCCCGATGTGGGGCTTGATCCCAGGACCCTGAGATCATGACCCGAGCCGAAGGCAGAGGCTTAACCCACTGAGCCACCCAGGCGCCCCAACTTTTAGTATCGTTTTATGTAATCGTCAGCCTGTATCATTTAATTTTGGAGGATGATTATATTAACAACCTGCTCTCCAGTTTCCCGAAAACTTAGCCATTGTTTCTGGTGAGCTGGGGTGAGAACAGCAAAGGGCGAGTGTCTTTCAGGTGTTAGTAAGGACAACTGTAAATTATGGTTCATGGTCCCATGTTGATGCATATTTAAGTAGCCATCTGATGGGCTTGTACGACACCCCAGACCATATCCAGGGTCACAGGGATGCTGTTGCTAAGGGCCGTCATTGGCATTGGGGAGCTTGTAAACCCCCCTTCGAGTGACCCAGAGCCCCTTGAGGATATCAAGCTGGAATGTTTTCCTTCTTCACTTCCAGGCAGCCGGATGGGCCGCTGGGACCGCTGTATGCGTCTTCAAACCCTGAGTACCTCAGTGCCAGTGATGGTGAGTACCATCCCCGTACTCCTGGGTAGCCAGAATCCTGCCTTTTGGGGTCCCTGGCCATCAGTGTCAAGTGCAAGTCCGGGGTCGGCACCCAGGGAGGCTGAGCTGAGACCTCTCGCTCACGTGAGCTCGCAGACCTGCCCCTTGCTGCGAGACCGTATTACCGGGAGCAACGAGGCACCCGCTGTCTGTCACCTGTTTGGCTAGGCTGATCTAGCTGGGCTCACCCCAGGGGCTCGGCTGGGAGGCTGACAGAGAGTCAGGCGTCCCAGCTGTTGGGGGAGTGGGGAGTGGAACCTGGGACCTGCGCCAGAGACTGCGCGGAGGGTCAGAGCCAGAGGGCCGTGCGGACTTGCTATCCAGGTTGGCAGGTGGGGGTCAGGAGCCAAAATGAGACACGGGGTAAGAGGCAGGGAAGACAAGAACGAAGGGTGAGATGGGGTCCGCAGGCGGCTGTGTGGGCACGGGGGACACATCCACCGCGGGTGGGACGCTGATGCCGGCGGCGGGAGCGTTGGACTGACTCCTGGATTTCCCTGGATCGTACCGAAGCGTGCTGGGCGGCCCCTGCAGATGACGCTCTCCTTCCAAGGAGAAAGCATCTGCCACGTTTCAAGTTTCTAAAGGACGTCATGCAGCAGGAATCAGAAAGTGACTTTGGAGGCGTGAACGCTGTGGCCGGGGGATCCTGGGGGGGATGTTTGTAAGGACGCCCAGGATGTCTTCTCATCAGGTCTGCTGAGGGAGTGTGGGAGAAGGAAGACAAGAACGTTTATTGTGGTGTGCAAGGCAAGGCAGGGCAGGGCAAGACCAAGGACTTGCTATTTTGAATGATTTGAGTGGGTTCTGGGGTGTGGGGGCTGGCCCTGGGGTGATCGGACCGTCTAGAGAAAAGGGTGAGGCTTTGGGCTCTGGATGGTGGTTTTGCAGGCAGAAGGTACTGTCACAGGCCAGTCATTTAGGGTCTGTAGGGGTTGGACGCCCTTGGGAGGGGCAGTCCCTCCAGGGTCATCGAGGCCCCAGATGCTAAAACATCAGAGTAGGGAAATTGGAAGAGGGGGTCGTGCTGGGTGGGAATGTGTGCAGGGGCCAGGAGCAGGGGGGAGTGACCGCGGATGGAGGAGCTCCCTCTCCCGGCTTGGGGATGGCATTGTTACCGCACATCGGAGGTAGGAAAGCTCAGCCTCAGGGCTGCTGTCGGACCCCATGGGAGGGGTGAGGCCGGGAAGGCTGCACAGGGCTGCCTCTCCTCCCAATTGCCCCGCTTCCTTCAGGGAACGCAGCCATGACCGAGGCCACAAGGGTGCCCCGTGTAAGCTGGAAACTGGAACTCAAGGGTCTCTAAGGCTGGGAAGGCCTGGGCCAAGGGGAACGCCCAGGGAAAGAGCCAGGCTCAGAGCCCTGGGGGCAGGGTACCCCCATGGAGCATGTGTGTGTGCTCATCTCCTCCAGCGTCCTTGCCTGGTGCCCTGGTGACCGTATCGGTTGCTGGGGCTTCCGGAACAAACACCAGGGACTGGATGGATGGCTTCAGAAACAGAATTTTAGTTCCTTGCATTTCTGGAAGCTGGGAGTCTGACCTGAGATCAAGGTGTCAGCAGGGTTGGTTTCTGCTGAAGCCTCCCTCCTTGGGTTGTGGGCGACTGTCTTCTCCCAGGTCCTCACATGGTCAGCCCTGTGTGCATGTCTGTGTCCAAATGTCCTCTTCTTCCGAGGACACCAGCCACATGGGATTACAGCCTCCCCACTGACTTCATTTGAACTTGAATTGCCTCCGGAATGGCCCTATCAGTTACATTCTGAGGTACCAGGGCTAGGATGTCAACATAAATTCTGGGGAGGGACACAATTTATCACCCCCTTTGGAGGAAGGCTGGAGCCTTTCTGGCTTTTCTTATGAGGCCTTTGTGCATTTGTCTGCAAATCGTTTGCTGCATAACAAACCACTCCAGAGTTAGTGGCTTGAAACAGCCAGCGTTGGTTAGTTCGCAGTTCGGTGGGTCTGCCAGCTGGGATCTGCTAGGCTGGACAGATCTTTTGATCTCACTGGGGCTCCTTTGCACGACTGCAGCCTGCCTGTCGATCCACTGGCCCTGGATGGGCTCACTGGCATGGCCAGCGGTTAGCAGGCTGGGTGGTCTCCCATCCCCTTGGCACTTGGCAGAAAAAACAGCCTCAGATGGGAAGTAGAGTTGTGGGGTGGCAGGGCTTTTAGATCAAACTGAAAGGACGAGGAGGCAGGCCCAGCTCGGCCCAGCTCGGCCCAGCTCGGCCCAGCTCGGCCCAGCTCAGGTCTTGCTGGGAGCCTGGACCGATGGTGGCTCCATCCCAAGCCTCTGCTGCCCCCTCCAGGAAGGGCAGGGACCCACGCCTGTCCTGTTCTTGGCTCTGCGCCCAGTGCCTGGTACAAGGCCTGGACCACAGAAGTCCCTTAATGAACGTTCCCCTGGCGGGGTGGGGGGCAGTTCCAGCAAGAGGCGGCTGGGGGCTCCCCGGGTGTCCGCCGAGGACACCGTGTAGATCAATGAGGAGTAGTGTTTCCATGTTCTGTGTATGTGCCGGACGAGTGGGAGGTGCCTCGGGAGAAGATCACTCTCCTGCGGGAGCTGGGGCAGGGCTCCTTCGGCATGGTGTACGAGGGCAACGCCAGGGACATCGTCAAGGGCGAGGCGGAGACCCGTGTGGCGGTGAAGACGGTCAACGAGTCGGCCAGTCTGCGGGAGAGGATTGAGTTTCTCAACGAGGCCTCAGTCATGAAGGGCTTCACCTGTCATCACGTGGTGAGTCCCACGTTTGCCCAGAAGCAGGCAGAGACGTCCTTTCGCGCCTGCTCCCCTGTTCCCTTTCCTCTGTCCTTCCTCCTCCTCCTGCCCAGAGCAGAAGGACTCTAGGTGTGGACCCCTGCCTGTCCCCCGCTCCGCTAAGCACCGTAAAGGTGTGGAGGAGGCTCCCTCCCTCCCCCCTTCTCAAATCCCATCCTCTCCCACCTTGCATGGAGCTGGACTCATTCCCTTGCTTTCCAGAAACTTCTGTCTCTTCCTCTTCCTGGTGCCTTTGTGACTCTGAAACACGATGGATGGTTCACCCCATCCCTGCCCCCACTCGAGTCAGCACAGACTCTCCCTGCTCTGCTGTTCCTACGTGGCCCCACAGCTTCTCGTTGAGCCTTGTGTCCTTTCTTCTCTGCCATGCATAGCTGAGGGGATCTGCTCTGTGCTGAGCCCATCTTGTCTCCTGGATGCGGCAGATTCCTGTCCTTGGGGAGAGTCCAGGACAGCCATGGAGACAGACCCTAAGCCCAATAAGTTCCTCCTGGAGGTCATTAGGAGCCAGTGCTGTGGCGGGATGGATCAAGAGAGCAGAATCGGGGGGCTGGGCATTTGGGAGTGGGGAAGGTGTGCTAAGGACGGAGGGACTGGGCCATGTGGATCCGGGAGGGAACAGCAAGTGCAAAGCCTGGGAGGTGGGAACATGCCTGATTTGCTCCCCCGAGGAGATCTCCAAGGGTCTGCCTTGGAGTGTTGCTGTGTTGGGCATGTCTCTGTGCTCCCCACCCCGCAAGACCGAGAGTCTTGAATTCTCCCTCCCTCCCCTGGTGCCTCTGCTCCCGCCAGGCACTGACCCTGGCACTGGAGCCAGACAGAGCCGGGCTCCCCACGCAAGGTGCTGTGCGTGATGTCGATGTCAGACGGGGAGACCTTGGTGATGGCAACCTTCCCCGGGACCCTCACCCAAGATCTTTGCTCCACAGGTCCGCCTCCTGGGGGTGGTGTCCAAAGGCCAGCCGACGCTGGTGGTGATGGAGCTGATGGCCCATGGGGACCTCAAGAGCTACCTCCGCTCCCTGCGGCCGGAGGCTGAGGTGAGCAGGCTCTGGGGACCCGGCGGGGCGCCCACTCATGGCCGCAGGTGGCTGGGTCCCTGAACCCCACCCCTTGTTTCAATTTTAGAATAACCCCGGCCGCCCTCCCCCTACCCTGCAAGAGATGATTCAGATGGCGGCGGAGATCGCCGATGGGATGGCCTACCTGAATGCCAAGAAGTTCGTGCACCGGGATCTCGCAGCTCGCAACTGCATGGTGGCCCACGATTTCACCGTCAAAATTGGAGGTGCGTCTGGCCTTCTATTTGGAAGTGTGTGGCCCAGGCCCAGTCTGATTGCAAGAGATGTCTGTCCTGAGCAGGTCAGTCTTTTCCAATAGTACAGAGAGGGCCTGGACCTCGGTCTATAATTTAATTGCACTTGCTCATGAACTTGCTCATTTCCTGCTCTGGATAATAGTGGCGTTCCCTGTTGGCGGAAGCCACCACACTGGGAGCCGATAGATGGGACTGATGATCGGTGAGTCACCACGGTTTTTCTGCCCTCACGCAACACCCGGCTCAGCAGCCACTGGCCCCATGTGGCCATTTACAGCCAAGTCAGCTTAAATTAACTGGAATTAAAAATATATTCCTTGGGCTGCGCTGGCCACATTGCAAGTGAGCGGTCGCCACCTTGAGCCTGGTGGCTGCCATACTGGGCAGAGTGAACATAGACGGCGTTCGTCATCATGGAAAAGTTCTACTGGACGGGGCTGTTCAAAGATGAACAGTAAAATAGCTGTATAAACAAGAGAAGGAAGACTGGGCGTAAGAGGTCTGAAGGAAATAAAGAGTCCATGGTAGAGAGGAGAGAGGCCTCTCTCTGTAGGGAGGCAGGCTTTCAGCCAAATCTTGCGGGATTAGTTGACCTAAATGAATGACAGCCTCCCAGGGGGCTTTCCAGCAGATACAAAGGCCTGACGCTGGAAGCATGGCTGGTGTGTATGAGAAGGAACAGGGAGGGGAGCAGAGCAACATGAGATGGGTGGTTAGGGAGAGAGGCAGGAGCCAGACCTGGAAGGGCTTTATTAATCAGTAAGTCATCTAGCCATTACCCTAAGGAGCCAGTGGGAAGCAGAAGTAATGTGATTCTGTTTATGATCCCAAATGACATTATCAACAAGGGAAGCCAGAATATCATCCTATTTATAATCCCAAGAGATCTTATCCTCCATTAGCCATGGGAAGCAAGAAATAATATGACCCTATTTATGGAGCTTCTCTTGGGCATTGGGCTGTCAGGGTCAGGGTGGAGGGAAGGTCCTGCAGGTAAGAGGTGGCTGTGGGGCTGGCGTGATGGGGAGGAAGAGCTGGGTTAGAGCGGATGTAGAAGAAGAATGGGCAGAACATGCCGATGTCTTAGATGTGGGTATGAGGAAAGGGGCGTGGTCAAAAGGGGGCCCAACCCTGGGTCTTGAGCTGGGCATCAGGGTAGTGGTGGGGCCGTACCTAGTGGAGAAGATCAGGTTGGCTGCAGAGACTCCACGCTTTGGTTTGGGATGCCCGTAAGGTCATGGGTGGGAAGGAAGTATTGCTGAGAATGGGGTTCCCAAGCTGTGGACTAAAACATTGCTTCTTGGCCACTTGGTGCTTCCTTTTCCTTCCCGTTACGTGGTGGCCCATCCTTTCCCTCCACATCCCCATGAGTACTCTCAGACTATTCTCATGGGATTTGGCTACCACCCGGGTGAGCACACACCTGGGGCAGGTAAGCCCATCTGAAGGTTCTACCAGGCATGGGGCAAGAAGGAGACACCTGGACTGTAGGCTGAAGGTTAAGACCACATGACCCCTTTGTTGTCAGACTTTGGGATGACCAGAGACATCTATGAAACGGATTACTACCGGAAAGGAGGCAAGGGTCTGCTCCCTGTGCGGTGGATGGCACCGGAATCCCTGAAGGACGGGGTCTTTACCACTTCTTCTGACATGTGGTGAGTGGTGGATGGATTGGTGGACACAGTGCTGGGCTTGGATCCCGGGGTGTTGCATTAGTGTGACTGGCAAGAGGGGGCCAGTTAAAACCTGCCTTCCTTACAGCCCCTTGATCAAGAAAGCAGAGGAGATGTCATGTTGGAAGGACCCTTGTATGGCCACTTATGTTCAGCTGAGACTAATCTAAGCATTTCTGAATGCAGCATGAATTTGTTTAATTAACTGGCCAACCATGTTCTCATAAACCGAGGAGGGGTGCGTGCGTGTGCGTGCACGTGTGTGTTTTAATGGCTTCTTTGTTACTACTTTGAACTGTCTTTGGCAGGTCCTTTGGCGTGGTCCTTTGGGAAATCACCAGCTTGGCAGAACAGCCTTACCAAGGCCTGTCAAATGAACAGGTGTTGAAATTTGTCATGGATGGAGGGTATCTGGACCAACCCGACAATTGTCCAGAGAGAGTGTAAGTGTGGAAAGACTGGGTGCTGTGTGGGCTCTTCATCAAAAAGGTGTTGCCCTTTCGTTTTGTCTACATGTGTGTTCATGTTTGCATGTTGTGTCTTTGCATGGACACTTTTTTGCACATCATACCTATACACATGCTTGTGTTTGCATGCCATATCTTTGCACAAATGCTTTCTTGCATATTGTGTCTGTGGAAGGTTGTAGAGAAACCGCACAGCATTGGTTACCATGGTTACCATGGGAGAAGGAAATTGGGTAGCTCGGGTGGGATGTTTATGTTTAACTGTCAGTCCTTTATATACTTAACATTTTGTCAGGGAGTGAATACAATCAGACATGTCTGTTATATCGCAACAGAATTGGGGAAAAAAAGAAATCAGAAGCAGAAACATTAAAATTATTTTTGGTCAGGGATATGTGTTACTTATTTCCCCACTCCCCCAAATTTTGTTGTAAATTTTGGCCATAGGAAAAAAGGGGGGCACCTGGGTGGCTCAGTCAGTTAAGTGTCTGCCTTTGACTCAGGTTGTGATCCCGGGGTCCTGGGATCGAGCTCCACATCGGGCTCTCTGCTCAGCACGGAACCTGCTTCTTCCTGTCCCTCTGCCACTCCCCCTGCTCATGCTCTCTCTCTTGCTCGCTCATGTTCTCTCACAAATAAATAAATAAAATCTTTAAAAGAAACTAAGATAAATTAAAAAACTAAATGATAGTAGCAATTGAAATTTGAGATGATGCCTATAAAAATATTTGATAACTCAGTAGATAAGCCTATGTTAAAATATTAAGTATATAATGTGTGTGTGTGTGTGTGTGTGTGTGTGTATTACATTTCCAGATGTCTTCAGATAGAAAAGGCAAGAGGGTAGATCTGAAGGAGAGTTGTGTGCAGACTGTATTTTCCCTGTGTTTTGGGGTGTTTCCTCTCTACTATGAGATGGTTTACATATGAAGTCCTTTATCAGTGTTTCTTAAGAAAAAAGTTTGCCCTCCTGGAAAATCTAGGGGGAAAGGCCATTCTGAGGTTTCATCCCCCAAAGAATAAGACTGTTAATTTAGAAAACCCAGTTGGAAGGGACCTTATGTGAAAAAGAGTACAAAGCAGAGTTATTTTGAAACTCTGAGCAAAGAATTTCTGAATGTAGCTTCATGGGAGTCCTTTCCTGGTCCTTAGTAGCTGGCTGCATAGTTCCAGGACCAGGGAAATTAGGTAGGCCCTAGGGCAGAGGTCCACACACTTTCTAGAAAGTACTGTAAATATTTGGAGCTTTGTGGGCCCTGTGGCTCCCTGTTGCAGCTACTCAACTCTGTTGCGTAGACAGAAGGCAGCTGTGAATGGTGCGTAAATGAGGAGGTGTGTCTGTGTGCCAGTAGAACTTGATTTTATTTTTTAATGTAATTTTATTTTTTCAGTGTTCCAAGATTCATTGTTTATGCACCACACCCAGTGCTTCATGCAATACGTGCCCTCCTTAATACCAAACACCAGGGTCACCCACCTCCCCACCTCCTCCCCTCCAAAACCCTGTTTGTTTCTCAGAGTCCACAGTCTCTCATGGTTCATCTCCCACTCCGATTTCCCCCAACTCACTTCTCCTCTCCATCTTCCTATGTCCTCAGTGTTATCCTTATGGTCCACAAATAAGTGAAACCATATGATAATTGACTCTCTCTGCTTGACTTATTTCACTCAGCATAATCTCCTCCAGTCCCGTCCATGTTGCTACAAAAGCTGGGGATTCATCCTTTCTGATGGAGGCATAATACTCCATAGTGTATATGGACCACATCTTCCTTATCCATTCGTCCGTTGAAGGGCATCTTGGTTCTTTCCACAGTTTGGAGACTGTGGCCATTGCTGCTATGAACACTGGGGTACAGATGGCCCTTCTTTCACTATAAGATAACTGGGAATAAACCTAACCATAGAGGTAAAGGATCTGTACTCGAGGAACTGCAGAACACTCAGTAGAACTTTGTTTACAGAGGCACTGCAGAGGACCAGATCAGGTCATTTGGGGGAGGGGAAGAGGTAAAATAGAAACCCCGGGCCCTCAGCACCTGCACTGTGCGCGCTTGGCTAAGTCGGGTTGTACGCCCCTGCTAGCACCCTGGACAGCGCCGGCACCAAGCCTGCAGGATGGCTGCTCAGAGCTGGGCCCTCTAGGTTCAGTCCCCTCAGCTGCCCCATGAGGCAAGCATCTCAACCTTGAAGGCTCTTTGACCCTAGAAAGATTGCTCCTTGGCACAGGGAAGCCTTTCAGGAAGCCCCGGTAGGAATTCAACTTTATGAAATGCACCAAATGGGAGAAAGAAAAAACCAGGAATGTAGAAAATGATCAACCTTAGCCAAACAGGTGGGTGCATCGAGAGGTGCGCTTCTTGATCTGGCCTGGGAGTGAGGCAGCCCCTTCGGCTCTCTTTCCCAAACCGTTCTCTTCTAAGCACCGGTAGAAATCTCGTTTCTGTCTTGGCCATGGCCTGCACTGATGTTGGCGCTTGTCGTCGTGGGTGTGGGCCACAGGGGAGGGGGCTGGGGTGGAGACTGCTCAGCCAGATGCCGCCGGATGCGTTCCTGACTGTCCCTCTGTCCCGCAGCACCGACCTGATGCGTATGTGCTGGCAATTCAATCCCAAGATGCGGCCCACCTTCCTGGAGATCGTCGACCTGCTCAAGGATGACCTGCACCCCAGCTTTCCGGAAGTTTCCTTCTTCCACAGCGAGGAGAACAAGGCACCTGAGAGCGAGGAGCTGGAGATGGAGTTTGAGGACATGGAGAGTGTCCCCCTGGATCGGGCCTCCCACTCTCAGAGGGAGGAGGCCGGGGGCCGGGATGGAGGGTCCTCCCTGGGCCTAAAGCGGAACTACGAGGAGCACATCCCCTATACCCACATGAATGGGGGCAAGAAAAACGGACGGATTCTGACTCTGCCCAGGTCGAATCCTTCTTAACAGCGCCTGTTTTGGGGGAGGGGTTCCCATCTTCACTTTCCTCGGGTCTGAAGGTCTCCAGAAAACTCAGGATTCTCCTATGAATCTGCCAGTGTCCGACGGAGCTCAGAGATCATAACTATCCATTGCTGTTCATCTGTGACTTAAAAACGTGTTTGATTGCCAATTTGACGAGCTGTCAGAGAATTGAACTGTGACCCTAGAGAAGGGGTTTCCTTGGCTGCTGTCCTTTGTAGGCAACTGTGGTTTTAAGCCAGGATGTTACTATTTTTTTCTAGTACATGAGAGCAAGCACCTGTTTTTACAAATCTTCTTCTTTTTTTTTTTCTCCTGGCGTCTGAGCTACAGTATAAAACATGAAACTTGTTTTTGGAACAAAAGTTTGAAAGAAAGGAAAAAAAAAAACAACCCTGTTCCAGTAGAATTTCAGGCTTTCCAGAGTAGGCTTCAGGAAGGTGTTTTTTCCTCATCCAGGCTGAAGGATTTTTTTTTTCTTCTTCTTCACAAAGTCAGTTCCTCAAATTGACCAATAGCTGCTGCTTTTGTACTTCTGATAAGGATCTGCAGTCCCGGCGTGTGTCCGTGCGCGTGTGTGTATATGTCCAGGCTAGATATGGCTGGCGTGTGTGTGTGCACGTGTGTGCCCGTGCGTGCATGCAAAGCGTTCGTGCCCCGTTGACACTTTGGGGGTCGGCTCATGAAGGTTCTGTCTTCTCGAGCTCCTGATCCTCCCATCTCCTTCCTTCCTTATTTACTGGGAGACTGTACCCTCCACAGATTCTTCTGCCCCAAGCCTAGTCTCAGGAGTCTTTTCTCCCTTAACTTTGGTGAAAAATGTTTTCCAGAAGCCAAGGGAGTCATTTGGAGTGATAGTGGATCTTTTCAAGACCAAACAAAGCTAGGACAGAAAAAAGAAAAAAAGAAGAAAAAAAGAACTGAGTTGATTAAGGATTTTGAGAATATATTTGTAACATATTTAATTTTTTAAAACTCTCCAACGTCAGCCTCATAAGTTATTAACTGTTTCCCGGGGTCGGGGGGAGGGTTTGTGGGTTGGTCTGCCTGTGTGCAGAGAGGGAGTGAGGCACCAGTGGCTGATTTGTTTGGTCTTAAAGGCATCCACTTTTCTGGGAATAAAGCCACATTAGCTGCTGACCCTTTTGGACATGATGAGGCCACGCTGAGGGTGTGGGAGATTGGGTTTGGTTTCTGCTTGGGAAAGCTGATAGCCACCTGGAGCTGAGTCCTGCCTTCAGACACACTTGTGGCTCTTGGATCTCTTGGTTCCTTGTGTGTACCTCGCATGCTTCCTCAACTGGGTGTGCACATACCACAGCAGAACTAAACCCCAAAGTGTGACAGCCCAGGTGGACTTTGAGAACACTAAGCAGTATGAAGCGAGATGCACCTGTCGGTCCCCTCCACCCTCAGGGCATCCACCTGTCCTCAGAGTTGACCTCCCAGAAGCTGCTCTGTGCCCAGTGACCTCAGCTGGGCCAGGTGTGGGGCCTGAGCAGAACTCTCAGGTGCTTATGACGTTGCAGTCCCCAAGAGAGTAGAGTCTGGAAGAGAAACTGCTAAGGACCTTCACGCCACCAAGAACTTCTGGATGGGCGTGAATCCAGTTTCTTCCCTTTGGGGAAAGAATCACAGCTGCTCAAATAAAGAACACGGTGAACCCATTACTTTGGTTCATCAAAATCATCACCCACGTGTTATCCCTGAGAGCATTTTCTCATGAGTTTTTGACTGCTTCCTTCTCCTCTTCTCTTAATAGTTGCGGGCTTCAGAATAGGTTAGAGACAATGGCAACCTCTGAACCTTCTCAATTCTTGATTAACAACACAGGTAGACAAATCCCAATTGCCTATTACTATCTTATTTATATGATTTGAGAAATTATAGCACATGAAATACTTCTGGGGAGCCTCAATGATTGGGTACAAGGAACAAGAGTACAGAAATTATTTTCACCAAATTTATTTTGTACATATAAGAGGGTCTACGTAAATTAAGAACACATAGATCTAGGTATTTTGTTCTTTTCATAGTAAATTTGTAGTGGCCGTATACCACACTAGCAACAATTTTCACATTTTTCTAATTCAGAAAGGTTTTCTTATATTAGGGGAAAATTATTTATTTTAATATATAAAATCACTGTAAAAATCACTTTCATAAAAAATGGAGTGCATGTAAATTTTTATCAAAAATAAACAGGTGAATGTGGGGTAATGATTTTTTTTTTTTTCCAGCACAGTCTACCTCAGTGTATCATTAGGATGTGGTTCAATAATGGACATCTTTGAGACTTCAGAATTCTGCCTGGATCCAATCTGAATCAGGGAAAATCTGTATCAGCTGATTCCAAATGCCAGGGACCAGTAAGAATTTTGAGGGAGGGAGTTGGGATAAAGTGTGGCTTTCGTGTGAGCATAGATCCTTTTTCTGGCTGATAATCTTCTCTGAATTCAATCCCTCCTCCACTTTGTTTTGGTCCTCCATCCATCGACACCATGCTCCCAAACACGAACTAGATTTCAGGCCATTGTGATATATCTGATTTGTGGGGTACCAAGTTCTGAGCTACCTGCCTTTGGCTAAGAGAGGATATTCCATCTCCTGCTGGGGCAAAGAGAGGCTTTAGAGCAAAGCCACCACACCCACTGTCCCGCTGCATCCCCGTGAATTGAGCACCGAGGTGCCCTGGGTCTCCGTGGCTTGTTCCTACTCCTTTAATGGGAGTGGAACAAATTGCACTTGTGGGGACCTCACATGCAAACACCTGATGTAGCATTTCTATTTTCTAAGTGGAGAGGGGGAATGTTGAGAAATTCCAATCCAGAACCCACCAGCATGCTGAGTGTATTTTTTTTTTTTTTTTTTTTTTAAGCAACAAAACTCTGGACCCCTGTGTTTGGTTGACCTCTGGCTGATACTGTTTGAACTTAACGGGGCTTTGAAAAAACCCATTTGTAAGTCTGGGAAGGGCCAGCAGGGCTGTACTTGCCAAACCTCACTGCCCTTATACTTTCAGATGCTGCCCACCCCCCATGGTCTCACCCTTTTGTGCTTACCCTGGAGAGATACAGTAGAGTGATGGGCCCACCTGCACAAATGGGATTTCACCTATTTCCTTTAGTTGCCTCTGCTACTGCAGTGAGAAGAGCAAGCAGCCATTGGGTCACAAGCCTTTTTCATCACATAATGTTGGCTCTAACAACTTTGGTCCTAGGAAGTCATGGTTGCCCTGGGAGGGGCTTTATAGTGATGGTCTATACTGGGGGGCTTGCAGTGATTGGCTATTAAAAAAAAAAAAAAGCAACAAAGCCAGCTTAGGTTGACACTTTTTGCTGTTTGCTTTTAAAGATGTCTCATTATTATTAAAACCTTTTTCGTTAATGTGGCCTAATCCACATAGTAGTTTCTTCTTCCAAGAGGAGAAAAGCAAGCACATTACTTTCTCCCAGGACCAGTGATGTCAAACACACTTCTGGAAATGTTTGTATTCTGGGAGCTATCCTTGGTGCTTTCCTGTTATTTCAAGCTAGTTGGGAGAAATGCTGCTGGTTCTCTTGGAGAGATATTGAGCACAATGGAGAAAGTGTGGGAACTGATGCAAGGGTCTGCACATACAATCCTGTGATCATTGGAGACTGCTGCCAGTCAATGGACAATTCTTCCACTATCTCCCACCAGAGCGGACAATCTGCCATAATGTGCTTGTTGGGTTGGGAGGTGTTCATTTGTAGCTGTGAAAATAGTGGTCAGTGGGCAGCATTGCCATCAGAGAATGGCCCATGCTAGCCATCTGGGTAGGTGATGGATGTGCTGTAGTCCCAGGGACAATCATTCTTCTACTTCGTGGTGGGTGAAAATTTGGTGTTAAATGTCTTTTGGATACCACTTGGTGAGTCCTTGACACCTCAGGCTCTTCAGAAGTTATGGTTTTGTTGGGGGGTAGGGAACAGGGAAATGCTGATTGTATATAAATGGTGCACATAGAATGGTGTCCATTTAGAAGGCCTTCCAGAATGTTCTTTAGAATTTTGATTTACACCGAAGGTGAAGCTGAGATGGAAAGAACAAATGCTAATTTGTGCATTTGCTTGAAAGAATGTGATGGACTTTCAGGGGCTACAATTAAAGGTGAATGTTTCCTTAGGGGTCCCCCCAGAAGCAGAGGGAAACATTGACTTTTTGAGCTCATGGTCACCTCATACCAGTCAGGGTCCAGAAACAACCTTCAGCCAAATTCTTATTTGGATGTGGGCCCCAAAAGTCCTTACTAGAAACCAGATTGTGAATCTGAGGCTCTTGGTCTCCTTTGGAAAGAAGGAACAACTTCCAAGATGAGTGTGCGTCTATGCACACATTCGGGAATGGCTTGTTTAGTCTTTCTACTTTGTGTGCCTGGGGGCGGTCTTGGCCCCGCATGTCAGCAGCAGACACTTCCATCTGTTGTCAGCTACACAGGATCAAATGTGCCTCGGCATATGTGAAAAACAACTCAGAAACACAAAACCCACCAAGAGCTCAATTATTTTTTCAATGTTTTCCTACAAGAGCCAAGTAGTGCCGTGTACAGAATATGCCTTTTTTTTTTTTGAATATTGAAATTGCTCTGCATGTAAAATATGGGATAATTACCTGTTTATATGAAAATTCTGAATAAATTATCCAAGAATAGTCTTGGGGTTTTTTTTTGTGTGTGTGTGGTGTTCAAGCAAGGACCTGTGACCTGTGTGGGATTGTGGCTATAGGGTGGGCTGTGTTAAGGGAAATCTGGAAGTTGTGTGGATCTGTTTTAAGAAGGAACAAACCTATGGGTTCTTCAATGAAGCAGGAGGTTAAATATTGTTATAAACAGGGCTGATGATCTGCTGGTACATACCTGTACAGTTGAGCTGGTGGTTTATATATTAAATTATCCCATACCAGTTGGTAAGTAACTGCTACCCCAAAGACCCCCAGACCGCCCCATGATGCAAGCACTAAGGGCTTCGCTCCAGGAGTATGAGGGGATCTCCAGGATCTTGTTCCATTTCACCATGCTGAAGACTTACATATTGAATACTTTTAGTGTCGTCTCGGCAGCATGGACCTGCCCCCAGCGTGGATGGTCAGCGGGGGACCACAGATTGGAAGAGGATTTTGAACAGCTTTGCATGAGCTATACACAGAGTGTGGTGGGTAAGGAGATAGACTCCCTCCCTTTAGCTCCCTGTGTGACTTTGAATGAGTTACACTACTTCAAATGTTAGTTGTTGCTGTGTAACAAACATTCTCAAAACTTTGTGGCTTAAAACAGCAAACATGTATATCTCATGGTTCTGTGTGTTGGCTCAGTGGATCTTCTGGTCACAGTCTCACTCTATTCATCCATCTATCCATCTGTCCATTTTTCTGTCTATCGGTCTGCCCGTGTTTGCCCACGGAACCATCCATCAAGCCAACCTTTTGCCTCTCCTCCCTCCTTCCCTCCCTCCTTCCCTTCCTTCCCTTCCTTCCCTAACTTACTTCCTTCTTTCCATCCATCTATTCATTCAACCATCCCATTTGTATACCCATCTGCATATCCATCCATTTATCCATCCACCTGTTTGTCCATTCAGCCATCTGTCTGTTCATCTGTTCACCCATCTGCCCATCTATCCAAGACTCTGGGCCTTTGCTGAGAAGCTGGCAAGGCTGAGGAAGCAGGGTCATTGTCTGGGCTTTATAGGCCACAATCTTGCAACCAGAGGAGGAGCTCTGGCTGGGCCCTGGGTTGGAATGGGGATGTGAGTGGTTGAAGTGCTCAGGGTTGGGATCCAGGAAGTACAAGCTCTGGCCCTGACTCTGCCCCAAGTGTGTGCTGCATGACCATAGATGAGAGAGTTGTTACCAGCATAGTGCATAAGTGA